TTTAATCCTATTTCGAAAATGTTCTGTAACTTTTTACTGCAATTGAATATGCCAAAACGCAGACATGTTTTTTAAGCGCTTTGGGCCCTGAAACCAAGGGAAAAATTAAATTGGCGAAAAACGAAATTCGCTTTGACTTGTAGCTTTTGAAAGGTGATTCGGGCGCTCGCATTTAGTGGTCGTGAAAAATTCGACAATTCATTTTCTTTCAAAATTCCTGGTATAGTTTGATAGCCAGCTCCATAAGCTTTAATTTGATATGGGGGTTTAGGTATCTACAGCTTAAACTGCAAGCGCTACATCACTTGCGCGCGAGACACCCCTGAAGGTATACTGTAACCTTAAGCTTAGTTTTTGTAGTTTGTTAAGGGTTATGTCACTAAAGCTGTGTTTGTTTTTTTCTAACATAGCACTCAGGGGTTAATGCAGGCAAGAAAAAGATCTGGAAAAATTTAAAACAGATTATGACATTGGAGAGAGGACTTCCTTGGAAACAGGATGACCCAACATGCAAGTTCAAAAGATTCTGTATACTAAAGGCATCCATGGTTGAGTGTTGATTGATATCCTCGATCAACATTTGATTGATACCCTCGATCGACATTCGATAAGTACCGTTGTTCAACATTCATTCGATACCCTCGATTGACATTCGATCAATACTCAATCAACACTACATCGACACCTTGGTCAGCAGTCAACTAAATTTCGATAGCTGCATATGCGTTGGTTGACACTCAGCCAACTATCGATCAACTGTTGATCAAACATTGATTGAGTGTCGACAGAGTATCAATTTCAAGAGATGTCAATTGAGTACCGATTGAGATGTCAATAGAGAGTATCGATCAGGGGTATCAATCGACACTCAACCATGGATCCCTTTAGTACACATGATCCAGTTCTAAAAGTAGCAAGTCGTTGTTTTCTTCCAAAGCTGAGATCTCAAAGGACTGGCACTTGATTATGGTTTCCATAATTTAGGACATCTTGGAATTTTACTGTCCCCTTCTCCCCCCTCCCACCCCACTCCCCAAGTTTCTTTTCCATGAATTGATCTGACTGGGATTATTGCAATACCACCCTTTTGAGAATGGTAAACTAGATAAATTGTGTGGTTTCTGCAAATTTCCATACCCACTTCAGAGAGGGTTATTAGAATTAATTCCAAGGGCAAGGGGTCTCAAAAACTAAAATTTTAAAAGGAGAGTACATGTACAAACTAAAACTGGAATTTTTGTGAGGAGAGTATGAACATTTTCTGGAACAGCACATTTTGTCGTTGATATTAAGGCTGAAAATTGTAAAATCCTGTTTTGTTTTTGTGTATAGATAGCAGTGTAGATGCCCCACCTTCGTTTAAACCAGCCAAAAAGTATGCCGACCTCTCAGGCTTACCAGTAAGTATCTAAAGATTTCAGTGTAACTATCTGAAAATGTCAACTACTTACAATTTTTATTACGGGCTATTATTATATGGTTTTCTCTCGTAGCCAATATAACGTGCCCTCTGATTGGCTTATTGTAGGGCATTATTCTCCCATAATGGCTACGGGCCGATTACAGGCTTGCAAAAACAAAGCAAAAAGCCATATAATAAACAACTTATTAACCTTGAACATATGGTCTTAGCAGAAAAATCTCAAACCTAAACCTTATCGTATTAAGCTCGCTATCACTCTGTCAATATGGCAAGGTCGCAGTCTGAGATTTTCTCGTAAAGACCTCACTCTCGGTTAATAAGTAGTTACTATTTAACCAAGAATAAAATAATTTTATTATGTACAAGTAGGTGTTTAAAAATGAAAAAATAATTGAGCATATATTTGTAATTTTGTTTTGGTGCTGGATAGTAGTTAAAATAAGTAAGAGATATTGTTGTGAATTTCAGGCGAAATACAAGGACCCAAGGACAGGAATACAATACAACAACTCTATGGAGTTTGGTTCAATCCGTAGTTTGCCCATGGACATTGTCAGTGGTTATCTGGCTCTGAGGAAAGCAGCCCCTGCGTGAAATACAGTTTTGATTTGTAGATGTGTAAATAAGTGAGAATTTAAACAGAGTTTTGTAAATATAATATTTCAAGTTTAAAAATACAATATATTTTTTCAAAACAATTATCATTATCTGTGTCACAGACTAGACGGCTAGCACTCAAAGTCAATGCTGATGAATCAAACAGAAAAAAGTAGAATATTATTATTAAATCCCTGGCCTTCTGTCTCTTTTCCCTCTTTGTCCTCTGCTATTTAGATATATCATACTGTCACATCATATCTCTGTGAATTTTCTGAGACCCTGGAACAGGCTACAGACTTGCTGAGGATTTAAGAATGATGTTTCTACTTCCAATTCCTCTTCCAAAGTTCTTGAAGTACTTTGCCCAGGCTTTGTCCTTGGACTGGTCACAAAAGGAATCTTATCCATCAGACACAAACAGACAAGTGGGACAACTGACATGGCTTGAAATGTTCATCATCTTTACAAATTTCTGTCAGGAACACACAGGAATCCCAGCCTGATTTTCAGACAGTCCGAGGTCACTCGCTGTCACTCCCTTCCCTCGGTGATAGTAATCAACCTGAGACTGTCTGAGAATCAGGCGAACAGGAACCCTTGTGAGAGAAGGTAAACACTGTGCTTGTAGTGTGGTCCATGCCATCAAACGTTTTTCTAGTTCCTATTAGTGTTGTACGAAGAGACAAGTAGCCCAGACACCTTCTACAGTATTTCCTTTCATAGCATTTGTTTGCTCATAGACTAGTGACAAGGAGAATTATTGATACACTCTCTCCCCCTGTTCCGATAAAGATCAACCCTTCTCTGTCTTGGATTTTATAGTTGCCCTGGCTGAGGTGACCTGTGGTTAGATATAAATGCGCTGAGAGTAACAGCAGAAAGTTGTTTTGCATGTGCTGGCCTTTCCCGTAATTGCACACTGATAAGACAACTAACCGAAAAGAAATGGAACCCACGACCCTCCCCACCCTCCATTTATGAAGTGGTCACACAATGACCGTAACAAACTTGGTAACAAAATGGTGGACGATACGATTGAAGTAAACAGAGGGGAATCTTACTTAGGAGATGGAGGCACACTAGACAAGTCAAACGAATTGTACGAAAGAAACGCCTTGGGAAACATTGCTTCACAGTTATATCCCGGGTATGGAGAATTTTTCGCCATCCCGCGGGAAGCAAACCATCAATTCTACGAACTGTTGTCGGCGTTTGTAAAACACAATCGCGATAACTTCGAATACGTTGGAAGTTTACGCAAAAATGGAGGGATCTTAACAGCTGGAACCACTGATTTATTGCACATTTTGAGACCGCATTTGCACAGTAGTTCAAAGAAGAACGTAGATAGATACCTTATTGCACTGAAGCCGCCTTTTACGCGCCGAGTGAACGAGTTTTTGGTTGATGAATTTGTGGGACGTCCAGAAGGCAAACTCTTCAGCTGGATTGATCTAGGGACAACTCAGATTGAGTACGTAGACCCTGTTAAACTTTCCGCAAGAATAAGCAAGTTGAGAGTTGATCAAGAGTTGCCACGACTTTCTGGAAAAACTTCCATTTATGTTGTATGCAAGGTAGGGAGTAAGCTTATAATGGAGGCTAGCTAGAGAGCCGTGACTGTTTTTCGCGTGCGCTCAAAGTGAATTTTGATAATTGTTAAAAAATATTGGTAGTGGCTTTTCTCTGGGAGTAGGCTGCAAAAAAATGGAGGAATGGAACATTGTCCCAGGGATAAATCACCAGATCTGATAAATAACGATTTATTTCCCAAGGGGTGGGGGAAAGTCAAAGCCCTCTGGTAACCCCATTTGACATATCCCCCCTTTCTAAATGATGGATCTATCCCTGTGAATACTCTTTGTGATGTCATAACCTTCTGGTTCCAGGCAAGAAAGTGGGTGAAGTTATTTCCAGGTCTTTGTTGCTCAACAAGCCACTTCTGATATCACTCTGCCATCCCACCTGGTCATGCATTTTTGTCATGAGCCCGTGGCTCAGGAGATTGGGCAACCACTCCCTGTGTTTACGGCTTAAAATAAAGTTACTATCCTTACCCATCCCTCTCCCTTTACATTGAACTCCCTGATTCAAACTCTCTTACTGTTCATCATAGCAAATGATTTTCTTTCAGGTTTTGTACTCTGAGAGACTTTATTACTATCCGTCAAGAGAATACTCTTCATCTGTGTGGCTTGGCAAAGACAAAACATCATTGGAGAATCAAATAAAACTTTGTACAAAGTCTTTGGACAGATGTTGTATCAGTTTAGATACAAGAGATGCAAGAGCATTTAGTGTTTGCTGCATTCCACTGAACAAGGATGGGACTCTTGGTACACCTAGATACGATGTCAAGCTGATATCACCAAATCCCTACAGAACAAATTACAACCCTGGAACATTTTATGCTCAAGGTTGGTACATGTGAAGCAATCCTTTTGAACTTTTTAAGAGTGTTAACTAAAGCTTAACTGAGGGCCATGGCTAGTAACAGGCAAACCAAGGCACTAATATCTCAGTCATTTTTTTGTTTGTTTATTTTTGTTGTTTAGTCATCAAAAACACCCTAAATACCTAGGAAGAGAATTTAACCATGGATATTGTGCCAGTCATAATTTTTTCTTGAAGTCTGTCAAAGTGACTGTAATTGAACAAAAACAACATCACTAACCTCCATGTGAAATTTTAGAACTGGACTTTGAGTTTGTTGGCTGGTTAACATCACAAGTGCGAGGGATGAGAACAAAGCATTTTTGGCAACCTGCTTTGCGAAAGTTGTTTAGTTTCCCTACCCCAGATGACAGGAAGGCAGCATTGCAATTCTTGTTGAAAACTATGAAGAAATTTCAGGTAACTTAAAAATTTTCCTATTCACGTTCTGGTAGAATAATTGCCTTTTAATCAAAATTTAAATAAGTTTTGCTCATTGTCCTTGCAGACAGAAGAGAAGAGTGAGATTCAACTGGTTGATTTATCTTTTGTGATTTCAAACCCTCCTCCGTGTCTAATATCCAGTTCATCTATCTTAGCCTCGTTTCTGAGAGGGGCTGGTATTATACTGGTACCACCACAAGAAGCAGATGATGGTGATAAATATGAGGAACAAATTGTATTTCAACCTGAAAACTGCCAAGAAAGTTTGCGGATTTTAGAAGCACTTTTCACAGTTCTTGTTAAAGGTAAATCAGTTTCAAAGGGCTCTTTCTTCTATAATACTGTAGCATAAATTACAGCTGCCCAGCATGCAATAATGGTTCCTTTGTAGTAGAAACTTAGAACTCTATGAATGGAAGGGACCCATTAGAAAGTGGGGAAAGAGATTGCGTTGCAAATATGGTCAAGTTTCATGTGACGAACACACCTCAGATATTTGAGAATGAAGAAAGTATGCACAGCTCTAATTAGGAGAATAAAGTAAGTGAAGTTCAAACCATGTAAATTTTTTCCCACTTCTTCTTCTTACTTTTTTTTACACAGGTGTGATAACAGAGCAACAGGGGAGAAGTGTATCCCAGCTTCTTGCTACAGAAGTTGTCTGTCTTCAAGAACTGGTATGGGATTTTAGAAATCTATTGTGAGTGGTTAAAAGTTAAATACTGATGTAAACACTCTTTTCGCCATGCCTCAGCAGTCCATTAAGCAGTAAACAGTGCTGTTCTTTGATATCTTATCATTTTCGGCAGGGCATTTTCGGCAAAACTTTTGTAAGTTCTGAAGAGTTTAAGAATATTGTTGTCCACGTAGTAAATATCTTGAGCACTGGCAGTGAAAACTCCGATTTATTATATAGACACGAGTGTTTTACTGGAAAATACACCACGCGTAAAATTCATACGAAAACACATCCGGGACTCGGGTGGCGTATTTCCATATCTTCACTAGTGAGGATATTGATGATTTCACTGATATCAAGTTTGTCTCGTAAATTGTACTTAAATTTGTTGATGTACGATCAAAACATCTTTGGGTCTTCCTCGAAAGTCTTTGGCAATCTTTGATAATCTTCGGAAATCTTCGGAAAATTTCGAAAAATGTTCGGCAACGTTCGTGTGACCTCCGGACAAGTTTTGGAGAATTTTCGGAAATCTTTGGAAAGTGATCGGAAATCTTCGGAAAATCGTCAAAAACGCCGTCATCAGTATGTCTATATAATAAAAAGAACATTACACGTTAGCTCGAAGATATGAATTTTATGTTCTCGCTGCGCTCACTCGTGAGATATTGTTCTTGCCACTCGCACATAAAATTCATATCTTCTCGCCACCGTGTAATATCCTCTATATATGACATGTCAGCGACATAGTCATGTTGCTATGGAAACGCTTATAAAACCGTAGGCTTTGAAGGGGATGCTTACCATGGAAAACCCACGTGAAAATGGCCCATTTCATTTTGATCAGCAAAATCTGGGAGTGCGCGAGTCTTTCGTGCGCTTGCCTGTAGGACACACTACGATTGCGGTCGTGGAAGCTTGGAAAAACCATAGCTAGATATCATAGAGATTTGTTAAGGGGGACATTTCGTATAATCACCTGGGAGACCATCTGTTTCTTTCAGCTTTTAATTCGCCTGCGAGAAAAGAAAACAAGAGCCGAAACACACAGATGTTCTGTCGGCAAATTGTGTAAATGAGTTTCAAAAGACACAACCATCTTTTTTTTTTTCAGTTTTACACGCAGATGGGCTGTATATGTTCTCCATGGAAAAGTCTAGATCCTCGTGAAATACCTTTGTTGGAGTTGTGGAAAAATCCATCACGGACGAGAAGTTATCTGGAAAGTCTGGGACTCAAGGAAAATCTCCAAGGAAACCAAATGGTCGTTATCTGCCCTGACAACTGCCAGCTTTTGAATATTTTGGCGCTATTCTTTGGAAACATTGACTGACGCAGCGAAATGCAATAATGCTTGCTTGGAAATTGTAATTGCTCACAGCATAAATTTCTCTTGGGAGGCAAATGTGTGCATCTTTGTTTCCATACCTACCTTAGAACCGAGGTCAGAACCAGTCCTGTTACAACTTGGATACGGCTGATGTTACCTCATTTTCGGCACATTTTCAAGACATTTTATTTATTTAATGTTAGCATTGAAAACAGAGGCCTATATCATCACCTGGCGAACTTTTTCCCTTCTCTTCTCCACGGAAATTGTGCATGTCTATTTCAGTCTGGTTATACGCCTCAAGTGAAACAAGATGCCTTTTTACATAATCAATATTTGAATAGCTTTATTGTTTAAATTTTTGCGACAATAAAAGCGACAATATAATTTCTCTTCCTTGTTTTAATTTTTTTTTTATCATTTTTTGGAAAAAAAAGAACCGAAACACTTTTTTAACATAATATTAAAAAAAACTACCGCAGTGAAATCTTTTTCAGTGCGAAAAGAAAAGCATGGGGTATATTTTCTTTTTAATTTTAATTCCCGTTGAATTTGATATTTATTTTTCTGGAGTCTTGCATAATGTCAAGATCAAAGTAAATAAATTGAAAATACACGGGAAATGTGTTGTTATGTTAGCGAGTGAAAGGTATTGATGACAGACCAGCGCCCGCCGAAAGCAGATGTGTTTCAATAATGACATTAATTGTCAGGACCTTGGTTCATTATTATTTATACATTTTCCTTTACACCGGAGCACTTGTCAATAATTTCAACCTGAATTTCGCGTCGCACTAGCTACATCTCGAACGTTCGGAAAATACTGGAGCGAAAGAGGAAATTTCTACAGCCGTATTCCGAAATTTGAATGACATGGCGGACAGAGTAGATCGAGAAACTGGAGGATTTGAGGCAGAATTTGTTCTTCCACTACCCGAAGAATACGAATGCCCAATTTGCCAGTTAGCTTTTCGCGACCCCGTCCAAATCGAAGATTGTGGTCACCGATTTTGCCAGTCATGTCTACAAGAGTTAAAACGAAGGTACATTTAATTTCTGTGAAAAATTAGTCCCTGTTGTTTGCATGTGCGAGAAAAAGTGAAGTATTTATTATTCAAAAGTCAGCTATGTTGGTAGTAACGAGTATTGCTCGCGCGCGAAATTCGTTGCCGTAATTCTCGTAGCAGAAGTGGATGATTTCATGGAAATCTTTTTTGTCTGAGAGTTTATATTTTTTTTCTGTGTTTATGTGCGGCGAAAATTACATTAAACCTGTTTTCTGCTTCAACGATGCTAACATTTTCTAATAGTCTTTTTTATCCGTAAATAATATTAAAGGCAAGGGAGTCCATGTTTATGCCCTCTGGACAGAAAACCAATATCTTCTTCAAAGGTAATGTGAATATATTTTCTGTTTTATCTATTTCACTTTGCTGTTCCTTGTTTGAATGTTATAGTAAAAAAATACATGTAATCCCTTTTCGCTCTCTTGTTGGGTGTTATACTCACGCTCAAAAATATAATTCTTAATCTACTTTGAAAATATAGTGATAGTATTTTACGTGTACCAGAAACTGGCTCAAATGGTTTTTTTTTAAATTTTGTTTTTCATTGATTTCGGCGAGGGCCTTTTTGATGTTCCGAATAGTCAAAATAATTTCTATCGCACTCAGGAGCCGACAGAATATCAGAAATATTATGATATTCAAGCTATAGCCAGACGATCGCGCCAACCGCAATTTGAATTCAGTCAGTTCGGTATAGTCTTCTATCACTGTAAAAGTGATCAAATGAGATGTGCTATGTAAAATCATCAATATTGGAACGGCAATTTTTAACTCAAAAGGACTTGTCGTTATTATGTGCATAAAAAATGTTCTCTGTATTTTAGATTAATTACATGCGCTCGGCCCGCGAACGCCATGACTAATATTTCTTGAGCTGAACTCCACCGGACATGAGCAATTACATGTATGAATTATAACAGCAAAATGAAGACGCTAGCAATGAATATGAAGTGTGACATTGAAAGACACTGGCGTCAAAGTCTTTTATTATCTCGGGATCGAAAACCTGGTCGCGGTTTCTTTAAAATAACCACCTAGTGGCTAATTCATTTGAAAAAGACGTGCCAGAAAAAAAAAACGCGCCCAAGTTATTAGTATTGTTTTTGTTTGGCAAAATAACTGAGGCTATAAACTGACTTAATTGCTCTCAAGTTTGTCTTGAGACATTGCGATTTGATTGTACTTATGATCTTCACACTTTTTCCTCTTCTTTCGTTTCACAGATCTTTGTCGACAAGGCAGCAAAACGAGCCGTTTTATCACTTGGTGTGAAATGCTCCAATTGGAAAAGAAAGTGCGACTGGGTTGGGGATTTAATTTATGTTGAGGTAAGATCGAATAACCTTTGATAAAACCTTTCTTCGAAAAGCCTGTGGTAAAATTTTACAGTACGAAGACCTGGAATAGGGAATTTTGCATTTCTTCCACCGTTCATAGTATCTAGACTGGGGCAAGTACCAATTTTAAGAAAACGAAACACATCCCATGGCAACATCCAAACATTTCTGACGCCGCCATTGTAACATTTTCTTACAAGGACTTTTGACATTTCTCTGTGAAACAAGAGAAGCTCGAAACTTTTTTCATGACAGACTTAAGTTGTAAAATTACAGTTACAGGTCCTGTATGTTTTCTTTTTCACTTGATTTGCAGCGTTGGATAATTGTAGCCTTTTTGTTTTAGTAATTATACTCGACTGAATACAAAGCTTATATCTGTCACTTCTCAGCCCCATCGGGGCAGCTGTTCAAAAAGCCATGTGTTTGAATGGCTGCATTTCAAATGCTGTCGATCTCGATCTTAATTTTAATTGCGTCGTGTTGTTCTACCAAAGACATAAACAAAAGGGATGTGATTAAATGTTGCTTTAGAAGTAAAATCGATGAAGGCCTTAATCATGATATTTTCCGGCGTTGGGAACATTACCCTTAAAACGCATCACACCAGCACCGCGGTTAATTTCTTTTTTAGTAAAACAATGAATTTTTAATCTTAAAAGGACTATGTGTTAATGAACGAAATCTTGTAAGGCCGGCCTAAGAATATGTAAAATTCTTTCAGTTTTACTCGACAAATGTAAATAAACCACTTTTTCACGGTATATTTTAATTTATCTTTCAGTCAAAAATTATATATATTCTGTCAAACGGGAAGTATATTGTTTGCTTTTTTGAGGCTGGATCTGCTTCTTCTTTGACATGGTTTCCCGTAAAAATGGATTCCCTTTCTATTTAGTTGTCATTTTAACGCTTAAAGTTTCTACCTAAAGCAAACAACAGATTAACAAAAAAAGATTAATGAAAGGCGACGAGTGTTTTTTTCATTATCAGAATCTCATAAGACAGGCTTGAGAACTCCTGAAACTGTTAAGGTAAATGTAATTCCTTCACGTAGTTCTTATTGTTTAAGTTGTGGTTTGCTGGAGTGTTTTGATTTAACCATCTGTTCATATTAGCACGTGCCGTTTAGTCTTCGGAATGTTTTCCCATAAATTTCGCTTCAGTAATGATGTTAAATATTTTATTTCTTCGTGTTTTATACTAAAACTCGTGACTACAGGGTACTTTTGTTTTTAATAATAAACTGCAAATCTGCTTCGGTATCTCACTGAGCGATTTTATAAGACATTCGCGCGCTAACTTCGGTCTTATTTCACAACTTCACAGACCAACATGTCATGTTATTTTGACCACATATGTCTTCGGCCAGTAGCAAGAGACCTGATACCTTAATACTGATGCATTAGCTATGAGAAAGTATATTTTTGACTTCTGAGCATTAGCTCATTTCAAGATTTACGCTTGTTCGGTTTCTTACAAGAAATTCCAAAATCGTCATTTTTTCACCTGTAGTTGCGCAACAATGCCGGACGAGTCTCGCTGAGTTTCAGTATGCTTCATTTACACCATGAGCTAATATTGGTAAGACAACTGAAAGAGCATTTTATTTGATTTTAAACAGCATTGTAAAAACCGTTGTTTTGTCGCTGAAAATTTATAAAACTACGGCCAAAAAAAAAACAAAAAACGAAACTCGATGTAATCAGGTTGCGTTTTTTAACCCAAAGCATAAATAAGCATTAAGTAGCTTAAGTTTATTTCTAACAGTGCGAAACGTAACAAAAGGCGCACGAAATTCTCAAGATATTTTAAGTTGTTTCGGTTATGAAGAGTTTTGCATTGTATTTTAGGTAAGCCGGTGAACATACACCTAAACAACTCTGGAGGTCTTCGTGTGCTCATTAGGGTTTTGTTGTAATGCTGGGCTTTTAAATGGTCTTTACAATGGCAAAAATTCTCACGCCACAAGATCGCAGTTAATTTTTGGTACGGGCGGGCGGACTGACCGATTGACCGACCGACCGACCGGTCGATCAATCGATCGACTGACTGACTGACTGCCTGACCGACTCACTGTCTGACTGACTGACTGACTGACTGACTGACTAACGGACGGACCGACGGAGAGAAAGGCAGATAGACAGACAGGCAGGCAGGGGAAGCAGACGGCCGGTACGAAAAGAGGGACGGACCGAATAACGACTGAGCTTTCAACTGGCTGGCTGACACTGAATAGCTCCAACAACTGACTGGCTGACCGACACACTCGAACATGGCCAATACCAGCACAATAGCAAACACTCAAACAGGGACAGATTTTTTTTGAGATCTTTGTTTTCACACAGGAACACATGAAAAACTGTGTGTATGAAGATGTACACTGTACAAACCCGGAGTGCAATGAACTTATGCCTCGGAGGACACTGCAGTATCATCTGGTGTCAAAGTGCCGCTGGAGGGTGGTGTCGTGTCACTTTTGTTCCGAGATGTACACTTACAAGGATAGTAAGGTAAAAGTAGATCTACTTGCTATTACATGTCATTGTTAAAGAATCTTGAAAACTCGGCCTGAATTTTTCAAGTTCTTTGTTCATGTTAACCATCCTTGGCGCATTTGGTTTATAAGTGCTTCGTTGTTGTTTTTCTACGTAAGTGGCGTAGTGAATAACTTTGTGAATGAAAGTTTTTCTTTAGCACAGAAAAACCGTGATAGATGTTTATTTTTCTGTCTTCATAATAGCTGCACATGAAAGTATGCAAGCGAATCCCTTTGGAGTGTGTCAACAAGTGTGGAGCAAAAGACATTCCTCGAGAAGAAGTGAGCGATATAACTAGGGCTAGAAAAAGATCTGTATTCACCGTGCGTTGTTACTGACGGGCAATAAGTTCCTTAGAGCGATTTTCAATTGAGTGTCGTAAAACCAAAACCAAACCAATTACTTACCAATTAGACTACTCAGACAATCTCAAACCGTAGTCAAACCAAAACCAAAACTAAAGTAATTTAAATTGCCTGATTACTTTCGACACTCAACTGAAAATCGCTCTATCTTATGGCAATTAATTCCTGGGAGGACACTGGATTCTTTTTCAAAATGTTGTTTGCGGAAGAGAGATTTGCAAAGCAATACAACACGAGTCACCGTAACCATTTCCTTTTCCTCTTCAATGCGCTGTTTGCGTGCGAACTAACTAGACACGATCGTACCTTGAGAAGAAAAACACAGGCTGAGACCGAGAAACCTCGTGCGAGAAGGCACTAGCTTCATTTCAATCCCCACGAGAGAAATATCTGAGATTCAAGCAAAGTAAACTGGTCCTCCGCGACGACGGAACGACGCAGTGCAGAGATCGGGTCCGGGTTGTTCGAAAGCCGGTTAGCGCTAACCCAGGATTAAAAGTTAAACGAAGTCTATGAAACTGTTTTTCGCTGCTTATCTTTGGTGTAGTTTGAGATTATTCAAATTCAAAGCTGAAGGACAAACAATGTAAACAGAAAACCTCACCGAAAAGTTACAAAACTCGAATCAAAGTGTTTGCTAATCCTGGGTTAGCTTAAAAGAGTAACGTCACAGTTTGCGCACCTTGAAAAGTTTAGCCTAAATTTTTACATTTCGTCGTTTGCAATCCGTGTTAATCTTCTCCGTCCTTAACCATCCCTGTTCCTTTATGGTTTATTATTATCTCTTTGGTGTTTTTTTTTTTCCATTGTAGTAAACTGCTATTTTCAGGTAATTCTGTACGCGGCCAAAATAACTTGAAATACCATGACTGAGCTCCTTTAATCGGGCTTTGAACAACCCGGCCCTTCGGACGAAGTTGTTTGCGCACGTGAGCTAAGTTCTTTATTTTGTTTAGATGTCTTTTCACATAACCGAGTGTCCTCTGGCAATCCATCCTTGCTCATACCAGGATATTGGTTGCACTTTCAAGGTAAGGTCAATCAATTGGTAGAAATTTGTTATTCGGTCAGAACCAAAAGTAAAAAAAAAATTTTGTCTTCATAGTAAGGCAAAGGTAAAGTCTGTATGCGAGCCAAGTGACTCATCAGGCTGGAGCTTATCCCGGTTTCAGTAGCATGAAGCTACTAGGAGTATTTCTACTCCCCCCTGGATGGGATGCTAGTCCATCGCAGGGTTACCCCCAGCATTAAGTTCGCCGGTACCCATTTGTACACCTGGGTGGAGAGAGGCACTGTGAGAGTAAAGTGTCTTGCCCAAGAACCCATAACAATGTCCTGGGACTCGAACTCGGACCGCTCGATCCGGAGACGAGCGCATTAACCATCAGGCCACCGCGCCTCTCACTTCGTCCTCATAGTGGGGCATAATAAAAGGTAAAGTCTGCATACGAGTCACAGAGCTACAGTCAGCAGTCTGCACTCCACAGTCTGCGTTTTACACTGACCGACCGCTATCTGGATTTGGTTCTCTCGACTCCTCTACCGTGTTATGTAAAATAGCCTCCCACTAGCTGGGATTATTTGCGATATTTGTTTATTTATTTAGTTAATGTCCCCAATTAGCGCAACACTGAGTGCTAAATGCATTTGACACTTGGTAAAGTTTTTTTCCTTTTCATTTATTATTATTATTATTCTAATCTTCAGGGTAAACGCGATGTACTCGAAGACCACTCCAAGACCGCGGTACACACCCATCTGAGTTTAGCTTTGCTGAAAATCCGGGAAAACGAGAGTCGCAGTACCTGTACGAACGGCATGTTCATTTGGAAAATCACCAATTACAAACAACAGTTTGAGCAAGCAGTAGCTTCACCTGAAGACTTGGCTATCTTTAGCCCACCCTTCTATACCTCGCAATACGGTTATAAAATGAGACTGAAGGCGTATCTTCAAGGTCGGGACCGCGGTAAATCGACGCATTTGTCCTTGTACATCATAATAATGAAGGGCGACTACGATGCGTTGCTGGACTGGCCGTTTAAGCAAAAAATAACTTTTTTTCTCATCGATCAAGGCGAGCAGAAAGCTCATCGGACTCACCAACTTAGCCCGAACCGCTCGCTGCCGAACATTAAAGTGGTGTTCAATCGGCCCACCATGAAAGAAAACCTTGGGATTGGTAACCCGTGCTTCGTGCCCCACGAGGTCCTGGAGTCCGGCGAGTTCATAAAAGACGATGCGCTGTTTATTAAGGCTGTTGTTGAACCTTCCAAGGCAACTTCTTAACATTTAATTCAATTCCGAATCTCAAAAACTCACGGTTTCCCGGAGCCATCTAATAGTCCAGTTATCCACGACCGCTGAATATAGACAACAACAACAAAACTTTTATTCCTTTTTCATTAAAGGCGCATCTTCTTCTTTGAATATCTTAGTTCAGATTGAGACAGACTAACACTGTACAGATGAAATGAGTCTTTGATCTTTTCATTCGACGGTCTCGTTTACCACTTCCTTTCAAAACTGCGGAGACCCTGGAACGAGGTTAATGGTCGACAGTTGAGGACAATTACTAGTACTTAGGCTTCCCCTTTTTATTCTCTCGTTTTGGCGTAAAATTTCACGAGATCACAAGCACGCATTCTTGCATGCTGTTTCCAGGTCCGGCCAATGGCGCGTTTTGAAATCTTAATCCTAAAATATTTAAGATCGTCTTCAACCGTAACTATCCTTTCCACCTTTTGAGTTTATATGACCCCTTTTGTGTTTTGAACAATTTAGAAGAATGCCTCGATACATGGTTATAATGTCGACAGTTTGATTGTTTTCTTTATTCTCGTAACTTGTCTGCTTGTCAGTATTTTGATATTGTAAAGAAAGAGAATTAAAGAACAAAAGAAGAGAATGAAACTTGAATTGTTTGGCAAATTTTTTGTGACAAAAGTGACACGAATTATTACTTACGCTAACGTGAACTTGAATGTTCTAGTATTCAAAATTAAGACAGGATTCTTGTTATTCCAGAATCGTGAGTCGCACGTTCCTAATGTGGTATATCGACTTGCATGAATTGTTGCAATGCAACTACAAGAGTTAAATTCTTGCACCAAAAAATTAATTTGTGCCTAGTTATTAGCATTTAGCCCACGTTTAACAAACTAGCAAGTCAGTGGTGATGATAAAAAACGACAGTGTTATTATTTTTCGTTCTGTGAGAGAATTAAATTCAATATTAGTTAGAAAAAAGAGAAGGTGTGGACGAGTTGTTGCCAACGTATTCTCAGGCTCGCGGTTTCGACTGTACCCGCGCGGGATTCCCACCTATCATTGCTCATCATAGCGTCTTTTTTTGTCAGGAAGTTATTTTATGTGGAGACTTCAAAATGATGGGCTCATCCACTATATCCAAGTTTTTAGTTGCACTAAGCTGCTTAATCAACTGACAACAACATGACAGTTCGGAGTATGATTTCAAGCAGAATCTCGAGTCGGACTTTTTTGTTGTGAACAGAGTGAAACCTTGTAGTCAATGGATGCTTGGCTCGAAATCCTGACTCGAAATCTTAACTGCAGCTGGTGATCCTGACCTGAGATTCAACTAGAAATGCTGCTGGGAATCTTGACTCGGGAATAGCAATCTACCCCATCCTCAGATTCCTTTACTGATTTTGGCTGTTGAGGGCCCCACCCATGGGAACTTCCAATGACCTGTTATGGTGTGGGTAGGGATATCTTGCGGAATCTCACCATGATTACTTTGTGTAGATTTGGTGGTTCATCACCCTGGCTTGATGAGTTTCTTTATTCTTATTATCGTTCTCCTTGACAGTGTATTGCAGTTTAGGGAGAAATCATTGGATCTTGAGAATAAGTAATTGCTTAAATAGTTCACAAAGAATAAATATGTAAATCCTGACTCGGAGAACAGGAATCCACCCCAAGCATTATATGAGTGCTATCAGTTCCTTCAATCTTTCAAAGGCGTTACTGAAATTAAAACTGTATAAAACGCAGAATCTTGAAGAAGACGCAAAAATACTCGAGTCAAAACTTTAGATGTATATCTCTTCCGTTCGAATCGGAACGTCGGAAATTTCCTTACCATTTTTCCTTACCATTTTCCGAAAGTCTTTATCAACAAAAAACAGTAAAGGTGAACCGAATTGTAAATGGTAAGGTTGGAAGAATAAGTACCATTAAGGCTGGTTTTCACTCGCGACTGAGTCGGAGTCGGAGTCGTGGTCGGAGTCGTAAGAGAACTTACGACCTAGTGAAAATCGAAAATTAGAGTCTTATGCGGAGTCATAAGCTCGACGGAATCGGAGTCGAAAGAATCAGAACGTTTCCATTTCTTCCGATTCCGTTTACGACTCCGTCGTTTATCATCCAGTGAAAACTACATTGTCGGAGTCGAAAACAGAAACGGAAGAACCAACCAATCACAAGGCCCGGAAACGAACGTTGTGATTGGTTTATTCTTCCGCTTCTGCTTGCGACTCCGACAATCTAGTTTTTACTGGATCGTAAGCGACGGAGTTGTAGGCGGATGCGGTGTTCTGCTTCCGACTCTGTCAGTTTGATTTTCACTAGATCGTATCACACTACGCTTCTGATTGCGACTCCGACTACGACTCCGTCGCTAGTGAAAACCAGCCTTTAGGGAGCTTTAGATTGGACTACGAGTACGAGATTGAGTACGAGTGCGATTTTCGAATTTCAAACCAGTGACCGTTTCCGGAGCCCTCGCTCATCATGTTGGTTCAAGGTAGCGAGGGTAGCACATGGGATGAGATTGGCATTTGACTTGATAATATGGAGTCTGAAACTAGAATTGAAAAGTCCTTGTCGTACTCGACAAGATGGTAAAGCACCCCAGCACTACAAATGGTACGATGCCGTGCCGAGTGCGGAATTGGAAATGCAGAACGCCAATCACCATTGGTTGTGGCGTTTCTCCTGATTGTTAGAACATACTATTGATCCCAGACGTCTGATGAAATAGCTTTTTTTTTTTCCCCGGACCATTGCACGCACCGTTGGTTTCATTCACGTGATTAAAAAAAAAAGCGAATCACGTGACGACGAATATGAGTGAATCTTTGCCGTCGTCTTGGGAAGTTGTTTCACAGTTTGTTTGCAAGTTTGTTGAGTTTCGCACTTTCTAGCAAGACACAATCCAAGATGTGTTACAGAGAAGAATTCGACAGATACAAAATCCATCGTATAGATAAGATATGCCCCGAACTTGGTACTTTTGAGGAATTTGCAACAGCTGCGCTGCAAACTCCTGTGACCATCCCCGCCAAGAGTTGTTTGTCTAAAAAAAAAAAAAAAAACATTTCAACAGACGTTTGGGCATTGCTTTGTAATCTCGTTTTCAGGATAATTGTTATTCTCGGCCGTGGGCTGGCTGCATTTACGCGGGAACATTTCGAATCAGCGCGAAATCTGAACAGCGAACTAAACACACGATGTTAGTCGATACATCCCTCAAATATTTTATGAGTGGCCTCTTTGCCATAAACTTTTGTCACCGTTAGTTTTACACACTTTCTTCAGAACTTGTCATTTTGGAATCCAAGTATCATAGGAATCTAAACAGACAACACTGTCGGCCTTACTTTTTTTAATTTGCTCTCCTCACCTTCAAAATGGAGACCCCGAGACCGCGAAACTTTCTTTTTACGGCCGTTTGTTCGAAAATCGTTACTCCATTCACTATGTTTATTTATTTTTTTATATAATATATATAGCAACAATAACAATCGTTTTGAACTTCGTTTTAACTGTAGAGAGCTTCACATTTCAGAATACAAGAAAAGTAAAAGCACTCAATATTTCGCGCCAAGGGCGTTAGCTACCTCATGCGTGACACAGCATGAATTTTAAACAGCTAATTTGTATTCATGGTTCCTAACAAATAAATCCCATATGCACATTTATTTGATCGAGTGTTGTTTTGTGTTCAGTACGATGTGAAACTAATGGCGGGTGATATTTGGCTGTTTCGTCCGCTGTGCTTTTTTCCGTCTTATATCTTGACGGCAACTCTCTTCTCCATGACGAAATTTCGGGTAGGGATTTAAACTTAGTATGCTCAAATCCTATTTTCACGAATCTTTGGCCGGAGGGTTTATCTTGTTCGTACGTGTTGGCGCCAGGACGCCATGTTAATCCATATGTTGTTTAAGTTTTGCATCTATTCGAAGAAGAATAGAACAGGGCAGGAACGTAGTTTAAATAGCTTTGCGAGCAAAAAAAAAAAGATCTTGAAGGTTACATTCACTTCATCGGTTCAGAAAATATTATAACCCAGATAACCGCAGCAACATTTCCTAAAGCGTTATCAACATAATTGATTTAATTCATAAATCGTATACTTAACAGTTTAGTTTAGATAAGACGTCTTAAGATTTAGTTTGAAATTTCCACATCGATGGTATTAAAACCATTTGAAGCCGCCCGTTTAGCGATTTTAGCACACTTCCGAGTTCCTGCCTGTTTCCATAGGCGTCTGCCTGCTTCGAAAAAATGTACTTGAAATTTAAATTCGTCTGCAACAAGTACCTCGAATACGATTCATAGGACTTAAGAACTGTGTTCTCTAAGAAGAGATTGTAATCGCAAGTTTATTATAATCGAACAATTTATATTAGTTCCATAGTTTGATTTACTTGTACTGTTTAGACCTAACGTGGAGCATCTGATTCTCTTCTCCGAACATGTAGGTCGAAGGAACCTATTATTGTGGCCATGACTGGTAAGTGGTTGAGTGACAGAATGTTCATCTTATTACATGGAATACCTGAATTGTTGATGTACCCATGTTACAGGCTTTGTAAGATTCGGTTAAAGAAGAACTCGACATAAAACGGCCAGGTGCCGAGCGGGATGGGACGGGGAATTAACCAGCCCCCGTTCCCACTCCTTTAACCCCCGCTCTCCCTCCCCCTCTGCCCCCTTTTACTTGACTAAATCGAGTAATGGCAGTTTGACATATGCAAAGTTAAAGTTTATATTTTCAGTTCTACACAGGGTATTTAATTTCCCTTTTTCTCCAAGACAGTGTTTATTCCTCCAAGAACAAAAAAGGTTATTACATCGCTTATTACGTTTAGTCAGGAGTTTGGGTCCAGAACAAAATTCTAACAACAAAATAAAACGAAGGAATTAAAGTGAAAGTCTAACCTGTTGAAATTTATTTTTATTTAACAGGTGTAATTACAATGAGTACTGCTGTGGCGATGATGTATGTTGTGACTATCTCACTGGCTACTGGTATATATGGTAAGACAATGAATTAGCTGTGTTAGATGGGAGGTCGGGGTACTTCACATTATGTTAGTGGAGCTAACCCTTCTCTGGCTAAAAGTACCTTTTTTTTTTCTACCCCATGTCAGACCCAGACCAAAACCGGTATCCTCCATCTCAAACCTCGAAACTGAAAATGGAGTCCATCCCCCACTGGAAACATCCATTCTCCCAAAACTCTGCAAAGAGCACCAAAATGTTGACCACTTCAGACCAAGATCATCAACAGCTAAAGTCAAGCAAATAGTTGTTATATGAGGCTGCACCTTGTCTCCTCAAGACAGATTGTCACACATTCAAGGTGACATTCTTAGTAGAAAATATCTGTCTTCCCTTCCCACCTAAGCGAAGGGTTTTTGGTTGGCATCCCACCCCCACCCCTTGGGAAATTTCAGTGTATTTCAGATTGATGCTGTCCTTTACTGTTTTTGGCTGTCAAGGGCCCCCACCCTATGGGAACTTGGAATTATGACATTTCATGGGGAGGGTATGGTTATTTCGTGGAATCTCACCATGACTGCTTTGTAAAGACTTGGTGGTACATCACCATAGCTCGACAAGATTCTTAATTCTCGTCATCTTTCTCCTTGAAATTGTATTGCATTTTCGGGAGAAATTAGATATTGAGAATAAACAAGCATCTTCCTTTCAGGCTTATGACGGGGCTTCTGTTGTTCACCCTGATATTAGCCTGCTGTTGGCTGCGTTACCATAGATACCATTCCAGTGAATCCATCGAGTCGGCAAAATTAGGATATGTCTCAGTGCCTGGAACAGTGGTAACTTACGGCGATGAGTATTACATTCACCAACAACCACCTCAAGTGCCGTTTGCGCGAGAACCTCCACATTTTACAACTCCATTGGAGTCTGAATCACAACAGCATGAAAGCTCCAGATACTATCCACCTCCATTTAATTATATAGAGAGAAGAACTCCTAGTGCTCCACCTGAGGACACATACTAAATCAACTTAACGATGTAGTAGATGTTAAATTTTCCGTAAACAGTTTGAGAAATTAGAATGGAGCTAAAACATGCAGGACATTAGCTCCAGCGGAGGACACGTACTAAATAAGATCAACAAATATTTAGTAGATGCTAAATCTTTCTTTAGCAGTTTGAGAACTTAGAATGGGGCAATACTTGTAGAGAAACATACTAAAACATGCAGGACTTGAGCTCCACCAGAGGACACATACACAATAAAATCAACAATTTAGTAGATGTTAATCCTTTTGTGAGAAGTTTGAGAATTAAAATGGCGCAACATTTGAAGAGAAGCATACTAAAACATGCAGGTCATTAGCTGGACATTTGAAATTCAACATTTGCTTGGGAAGAGACGGCAATAGGTTAAAAGAAATTTCGCAGGCAATAACATCACTTTTTGCTGCATATTGTCTAGTTTTGTACAAAATCAAATCATTGCTGGCTGTCCTGAGATGGAAATCTATTTTTGAGCATTGAAACCAAGAGATGAAGTCAGTTTCATTGAATAGTGGATTGTTAAACTATACAATTAAGACAAATTGTACGCACAACTTGTTAGGGTTTAGTGCAAGGGAAACTTTGCAAAAAGGCTTGCTCCAAAATTTTGGTGATGTTGTTGTTCGGACCAACAGTAGCAACCACAGCCAAATACATGTTCACACTGACCATGTCTGCAGACAATTTTAAATATCCATGAATTCAACCAAACTATTCCTTATTTTCAAAATGGTGAAAATAATAAGAAGCAAATAGGAAAACTGGATGAGGTAGAAAAACTGTATTGAGGCTTTGCTTGCTAATGGTCACAAAATATTTGTCATTTACCACAAGCATGATAATTTTCTGTAATTTGTAAACAGCCGATGGCTATGTTGATCCTAACTGCAACATAATTTTAATGGCATAAAAATTGTACTTTACTGCAATTAGTATTCACAATGTTTATAAAACATTTTTGCGGTGCTTGGAAGAGGTATGAAAGTTTTAGAAAACGTTTACTAAAAGTGTACTTTATATGATATTTTTGTGAATTTGTAGTGCAGAGTGTTTACAAGAGGAAGGAATAAAATAAATTGTTTCACAAAGATTCTCATTTATTGGCTGTACAATTACTATATTTCTCATATATGTGTCATCATTTAACATTTTGACTTAGTATTGCCATTTGTGCAATGTCTGTTTAGCGTTATTTCTTTGAACGTTTTCTCGTTCTTTTACTTCCTTCATCTGCAGATTCAATGCTTGGTTGAAGATGTCTCATGCTCCTTGAAACCTATGCAAAGAAATGAAATTCCATTACTTTAAAAATACTTGCAATCAAGTTATCTTTATTCTAATTAAAACTTTTTGAAAAACAAAAAGTACATCTTTTGGGGGGTGTAGACTCTTTGTGAGCATGCACTGAAGTACAAGAAAAATGCGCTTCCTCCAATGTACGTGCTCACTCTGTCCCACAGTGAAGAACAGTGGCAGGTCAGAGCAGATTATCTCTTAAGGTCAGAAAGCTGGCTGGCATCAAACCCTGCCTCACAATTTTTATTTAGCTTGCATTCTCAACAATGTCAGAGAAAATAGAACAAATATGAACAATTGGACTGTTAGGTCCATTCATCACCATCCTTCCTTGTTGTGTCATGAGATGTTAGATCCCCCTTTGGAAACAACGTCTCAGAGATTTGAGCCAAAATCTGCAGTGAAGCGAAAGCACTGACAGATCTGTGTACAGTGTTAGTGGTTCTCAATCACAAGCAGAGGGAATCATAACTAGAAAACACAGTTGGAGTCGTACAGAGATTTGTGCCTGGCATATCTCTGTACTTCGTTTGGTTGATTGGAAGAGCCTTTCGTTTTTGCTTTATATTAACAATAATAAAAGCGATAAATAGAACTTAAAGTTTAATCCCATTAAAAAAAAGATGTAGTGCAATTCACAAACCTTTGATACTGTAGAAAATGACCTTTTCTTGATGTTGTTTATTCTCGCACTCTTTGATGTATTTCCCTGATGGTAGAAATTATACATTCAATACTTTTCAATCAAGCCCACTTTTGAACAAATTTAGCCATCCAACCATACAAATAAACTTTCTAATATTCAGCAATAATGTTTGAAAATCCTCTGGCTTCTTTAATTATTGGATGATATTTTTCTATATAGGTTTCCTTCAGTTTGAAGGAAATTTTTTACATTACAAAAGAAGACTCAATTTGAGGAGACTTGTAAGCTCCTTTAAAATCCCCATGACTGATACGACTTTCGCTCAAAACAGTCATTACATTATATGGCCTGTGTTTGTAGCCGATATAACATGCTCTCTGATTGGCTTATGTACTCTGATTCTGGGGCATTATTCTCCAGTAAAAACAAAGCAAATACCATATAATAAAAAACTTATTAACCTCAAATGTTCGGTCTTTACAGGAAAATCTCAAACCTCTGCCTTGCTATATTGACCTCGCAATTGACCGGTCAATACGGCAAAGTCTCAGTTTGAGATTTTTTCAGAAAGACCTCACTCGCAGTTGATAAGTAGTTATTAATCAAACATATACCGGAATGAATAAACTGTAGAACATAAATTAATGAGCAGTATATACCTCATTATCTGTCACAGAGGTGCTTGGATTGGGTTCTTTGTTTATCATTGTTTGGTTGCTTGCAGATGGGGTACTGTTAGCTTCTACCAATGAAGTTCCAATTTTCTTTTCTAATATATGCTTCAAAGAAAATCCAACAAGTAATAATGTTAGCATGTTATCATGTTGGCAGCAAGGCAGAGTTGTTAGAGCACTTAACATCAATTCAAGTTTCAGGTGGGTTAAGTCCCCTACTCCCTTACTCTGACTCACTGAATCAGATGAAATTCTGTGTAAAAAAGTCTGACTGATCTATAGGTTGGAATTTCTTGACCATATAATGATTATTTTCTCCAGTGTTACTAGCCTACACTGGCTCTAAAAAGCCCAGCTGGTGAGTGGACAATATTTCAGATAAGAATAAATGTTTTTTTCCAATTGGTAAGTCTAATGACAGAGTTTGTAGCTTGATTGGTAATACATGGTAGTGATATCTTAAAGGCAAGTGCTTTTCCTATTTAAATTTAAACGCCTGTTCAGTATTAAAAATATTTTAAAGCAAATTTCATCACATGTATACCTTCTGACATCTTGTTCGTTTCCAGTCATCAAATTTTTGTAATTCACTGTACACACAGAAAAAAGAGATAAACTGACACAGTCAAAATGGAAGTGCACAAAAAATCCCACTTACAAAAAAACACAATGACACCCTGTTATGGCTAAAATTTGGATTTCTCAAATCAAAGCACAATTCAAAGTCTCAATTTTACTACCAAAAAGAATAAATCTGAGAAGTTTGTACCCTACCAAGATACATCAGACACCAAGTCATCAGAGATGGCATTGAATGACCTGTCTGATGAAAGAGCCCCTGCCTCCAGTAACTTGTTCTTCATTTCTTTATAGTTGCTATGAGCCTCTTCCAAGTACTGCCAATTCAAAGAAATCTTTCAACAAAGTAGTTATTCCTGACATGATAATGAATCAATTACTGTACACAGCCAAAGGGTAACAAGTTTTACTAAGACAAAGATTTTTTTTACCTCAAGAGCTCTGTATCTCTCCTCCACATTATCATTGATGTCGTCAATTAAAGCAGAACTGTGGCCTTCTTCTTGGCTTGTGATGGCCTCTTTTGATCCATATAAAAGCTAAAAAACAACAGTGAAACAAAAGAACACAGTCCTATTGATGTTAAACACTGTCAATTTTTTTTTATAAAATTGATATCATCTCATATCTCTCATATCTTCTGCATTATTTACTCAGCAATTTTTACTGTCTGTGCTCTTCATTTACAAATACAAGTTTGAAAACAGATATATTTATACATGCTCAGTATATTTGCTTCTTAAAGTATATTTGCTTCTAGAAAATACTGTAAATCTAAAATGAGTTAGTACTAACAAATTAACAATTAATTTTATTCACTTGACAAGGAAATTACATATTTACCGGTATTGGCATGGCAACAAATAGGAAAGCCTTTTCATTGTTTAGCAGTCTCAGGATATAGTCAGCATCATGGTGCTGTGAAAAAAGAAATTCTTCTAAATGTTTAAAAAAAAATTACTGTATGTACAATACTGCGTATTGCTGTATGTTAACATGAGCCCTGGTTATTAAAACAAGTATCCATGATGGCCTTGGCCCATGCATCCCATGGCACGATAAGGACTGATGATGATGTTGATAATATGGTGGTTTTGACCTTGTCAAAGTGAGTAATTAGGAACAAACCCCTTTTTGTTTGAGGTCATGTCTTTGGGCAGTGTCAAGTTTCCTCTGAGTCAACTTAATCTCCTGACATTCCAAAGGCCATTTGTGGTCTCTTGTTGATTGTTTTACCCACCCTTCCCTCCAGGGGGGGGGGGGGGGGGGGGGGGGGGTATTTAATTTTTCTTTTGTGCTTGTTTTCAATAAAGTTCATTTTGCCCCAAACTCTTTTCCAGTCTCTTTTTTTCTTTGTGTTTTCTAATTATGATGGTACACCTAAGCAACAGGTCTATTAATTGAAGAGTGTGTGTGTGTGTGTAGTGAGGACAGCAAATAGTACATCTTCTCTTGTTTGCCTGCCTGTCTCCTTAAGAAAGGTGTCTGCCTATGAGAGAGTAGGAAGTTGTTTGTGGCATGGACAGCTCATAGTTTAAAGAAGAGGGATCCACTTATGAAGTCCACTGAGTATGTTTTGAAGAAACATTAACTAGAAATTAAATCACCTTTTGTTCAATAATTTGCTTATGTAATTCTTTGAGATCCTTCATCATAGATAGTGTCATACGGATCTGTAGACAGAAATAATGAGGGCACAAACCCACATATACTTAGTAGAAAGACTTCTTACAATGCAGTGTTATAATCATTACTCAAGATTCTCAGTGCTAAACAAATTGACAAAGAACTTGAATTTTAGAGTGACAAGTCATGAAAATTTTATTGGGACCCGAGTCTGTTGACTTGCGTGGGTCCTCGCTCAGCCATCCATATTCCCAGAACCATCAACATTTACCTTAACTTTTGGCTGACAAATCTGTGTGTGATAAATGGCATAGAGTGCATATAAAGCTCCGACACGATACTGAAAGCTGCTTGGAGTTGAATCAAGGTATGTGCTGATAATGCGAAACAGATAGTCAACAACCTGCAAAACATAATGTTCAGCAAATCTGATCAAAAAGCAATTAAATAAAACAGAATTGAAATTATTGAGTTGTCACATTATTATTTAGCTTAATAAAAGGATTTTTCGCCCATAATAATTAACAAATGAATAAACATAATCACAGCATTTCACAGGACGGCTGGAGCTCAAACCTGTATTCGTCGATTGCTGTCTCTTCCGCCGCTAGAACACAACCAAAACAAACGCATCAAACAACACATTTAACAAGACCGAAATAAATGTAAATGATCATCAAGAAGATACGTGCATACCAGTGTATTAAAGAAAAGTTCATCTCCCGCCATACTTCACAGAATTTCTCGAATCTTACAGTCTTCAGGTTGTCAAAACGCGACAACAACACACGACAATCCGTGATCAATCCGTCCGCCATCTTTTCTGTCTAGAGTAAACATGGGCGCGATTAGCTACTAGTCACCAGTCTGTCACCAGCAGTCGTCTGCGTCAGTTCATACCTTATCCCATATCATACATACCAGTTATGGAGGAATAACTGTTTTTTTCGGCGTTTTGTTGAAATGGGAATAAGCTACAGTTCACGTAGAACGCGTGCATTTAGAGAAGGTGTACAACCAAGAGGAACTGTAAAAAGAATTGCTTGTTTCGACTTTGGACGTGAATGAAAATGAGACTAAATGGAGGCTGGGCAACTCCTAAATAAATTTCTCTTACCTCTTCTTGCTTCCTGATTCTTATCACGCGTTTGGAATAACATGACGCAATTTGAAAAATTTTCGGAGGAAATGATCGATTTTCAAACGTTTTGGAACTTCCTGTTGTTTTAGAGAATTCAACTACTTCAAAGAGCAATTTACATTGAAACTTTAGAAAGGTTTTCCAGTACGCATTAAAAAACTCGAGTTCCGAAGTCTAACCTAATTAAACTAATATATTTAGCAAATAACTATAATGGTTTAACAGATTGCACTAGTTTGCAGTCTTTGTAATATCGTAAGATTAAAAAAAAAAAAAACATTCCTCAAGTGCCACTTGATAGCGTTAATTTCTATATTAAAATCATCTACGTTACCTAATGTCAACAGATATTCCATGCATTTAAAATATAATGCCCAATATACATAGATCGTATTGCTTACAAACTACACCCTTAGACGGCGCCATATGAAAAAAAAAGTCTCAGAGGATTAACAATGGATATTCAATTCAGTCCAGTTTCTTACACCACAGTGGTGCCAGTTAATTTATCGCATCTTCCCAGCCCTCATTGGAATTGTTTGATAAAAATCGGTGAGCCAGTGGTAATTATCGGGAAATAGTGCAGTAGACAAGAAGGTATTCCGGCTCGAGCTAATGCGCCTCGCAATTTAAATACATCTTACATTCCACGACTTACAGAGGCGCATTGAAGTGGCACAAGCGCTCTATCTGATGCATTTGAACTGAAGAAATCATAACATTATCTGTCAACGCGTAGGGCAATTCAACAAGTTTCTCAAAGGAAAAATCAGTCCGCGGCTGAAACCCAAGCAATATGGAGAGTCTGGAAAGAAAACAGCGGTCAGTAATGGAGGTAAGAGCTTGAACTTTCTGTCATTCCTGCGGCCAAAAAAGTTAGCCAAAATAGACAAGCTACATTTCCACACACGCGAACATTATTCTGTCGTGCGCCCCTGATATCTTTGGGAAAACTCATTATTGTTTCCGATATGTGAAATCTTTCAGCTCGTGGCAGTCATTAGGTATATTGTCGTTTAATAACATCGAAAGTCGACTGAGGAAAATGAATTCATGGTAGACGTGCGTCCATTGTCACGACCTAAGGAAATGTTTACAATCATGGTACTGGCATCGAAAACAGGAAATCGAAACCACACTGCGTTCTTAATTGTGGGTTAACAACTATTTTTTATGTAAAACTTGGACTGAAAAGGACCTGCAAAGTCTGTAAACGGAAATTTAAACTTGTCAATTGACCTCAGTTTCCGTCTGTCTTCATCTGGAAGTCATCACATTTTACAGACTCTAGTTATTTTAGCATTTTAGTAATTCCGTCCCTATTGGGTGATTATATGAACTTAACACAATCCGTAAAACCACAGATACTTTAACTAGTTTCGACAGATGCTTCTACTATTGAATGCTTCTATTATTGAAATAATCTAGAAGTATAGGTAAAATAACTAAAATACCGACAAAAAAGGCAGCCGGCAATAATCGTCCAAGGTCGGGGGGTCAAAAATGTGACAGACAGTCATGCTTTACACATCGCAAAAAAAGGTCGAATTTGAGAGAGTGAGAAAAAGGAACTGTGTATTGCTGGAAAGACTGAACTATTAAAATCCCGCTAAACCATAGGTCCTGATAGTGGCACACGAGGCCTCAAAGAGTTAGGTTCCTCCAGGTCGCCCGGTCTTCGGCTAATCCTGTGGCACTCTCCCAGCAACTTACAAGCATTCTTCATCTCTTCGAGTATTGTTCTCAATTTCTCCCTAAGTTGTTCGTAGACGCCCCCTTTTCCTTCGACCTCTGGTTAATCCTGTGGCACTCTCGCAGCAAATACAAGCACTCTTCATCTCCGCCCGTATTGTTCTCAATTTCTCCCTAAGTTGTTCGTGGACGCCCCTTTTTCCTTCGACCTCTGGTTAATCCTGTGGCACTCTCCCAGCAAATCCAAGCAATCTCCATCTCTTCCAGTATTGTTCTCAATTTCTGCCTAAGTTGTTCGTGGATGCCCCCTTTTTCCTTCGACCTCTGGTTAATCCTGTGGCACTCTCCCAGTCAATACAAGCACTCTTCATCTCTTCCAGTATTGTTCTCAATTTCTCCCTAAGTTGTTCGTGGACGCCCCTTTTTCCTTCGACCTCTGGTTAATCCTGTGGCACTCTCCCAGCAAATACAAGCAATCTTCATCTCTTCCAGTATAGTTCTCAATTTCTCCCGAAGTTGTTTGTGGACACCCCCTTTTTCTTCGACGTCTGGAGTCCATGTCAGTGCAGTTCTTGCATGTGCTTTGGGCTCCATTCTTAGCACATGACCCATCCCGACACCTTCTCCTTCAGATGATTGGAAAGTCGCACAAAAATGATGAGCGATCTGCAACATTGCATAGATGAGCACTGCTGTCGCGAATTTTCATGGACGATAATCAATGACAGTCACTAGCACTAAGAGCCCGGCTGTGATCTGGATCATAGGGAGCACTATACACTATAATAATGTGAAAATGAATGAAGCTACAAGTAGGCAGAAGAATGAGAAAAGTATAGTATTACCTTGTTCCCATACTTTGGGCAGATTACAGGTTCAACTCCTGTTTGAAGGACTTGGAATTATGTTTGTAAATAGCTGGTGTGACCGAAAACGCGCGGGCTCTCGGCTGGGGACGAGGTCGTCTCCAGATCATGCCGCAGTAATGACTGTAATCATAGTTAGTAGAGGTCTCCTCTACTAACTATGCTGTAATCAAGCTTTTTAGTCCGTCGAGCGTAACACGAAAGAATGGAGGATCTAGGAGGAGACAAGCAATCATTTCACGATAGATCTGACAATAGCCATAGAGCGTCCTTTGGTAACAATTATTGTACTCTCATCACAGTTTAGCCTGGGTACAGACGTCTTATCTACTCGACATTTCGATCGCGTGATCGTTGACGAGGGCGCAGCCCCAGTCAACTATTATGAATAGACACCGAGAGAGAATAATCTAATTGTTTTCAAGTTAGTATAAATCTACTAGTTATTTAGTAATTTCTAATTTTCAGTTAGCCCTTACTTAGTTGTCACCAAGTGTCTGTGTTAGCCTAGTAAAATCCTATCTTAGTCTAGTTGTGTATTGACCAATTTTGCTTTTGGGAGCAATATACTGCATATAAATCCTTGACTGGGCATTTAACAGGTCCTACTGACTGGGATGTTTCATCCATCGATCAGCTGAAGTCCGTTCTCCAGAGCGAGCGAAACAAATGCTTAAGTGTGACTTAACTATTGGATTTTAATTACGTGAATGAATTTTTGTGTGTTTGTTAATACTAGTTTATTTCTTCTTTGCCGACTGGATGTTCAAAAACAACAACAACAGCATGAATAACAACACGTGTTGTTCATGCTAACCAGTCTTTGGACAGATAGCATTTTCACTCGCAGAGTTAATGGGATACCAAAAAAAAAAAAAATACAATTTCAGACTTATTAGAGGAGATTTACTGGCATAATCGTCTTCTCTGCTGAATCCAATTTCAAGTTATGAAGAATTAAGAATTCCTTTTGTCCTCACAAGACATTAACATTATGCCCGTCATTATAAGATCTATTTCAAGTAATATAGCTTCCCTAAAAAAGGAAAACAACAAATCAGCGGAAGTCTCATGACTTGGCACAAGCTTTTGCCATTTGTCATTCACACGGTGTTCATTAACTTCGTGACCTGCACAAGTTCCGTCGGCGTTTCTAAGATGTTAATAGATCACGAAGATTAATTTTGACAAACACTTCCTTTCCTTTTAATTTCCTGATGCTTTGTTCTTTTGTTTTGGGTTAGGTATTTTAATCAAGAGTAATACTTCATTCATAAAAACAGACAGTGTTACATTTCAAAGGGTAACAAATGAAAGAAAAATTAGTTTTAAATGATTTAAGAAGGTCATGCCATTCAAGGCATTACTTTCGAAACATTACAACTTGATCGAAGAAAACTTTTATATTATAATGGTTTTGATATTTTTAGCTGTCGTGAGTAGAGGCTCTGAGTGCATAGGCCCAAAATTATATAAGGTGAAACGGATTGCAAATATCGTATTTTATTTGCATGTTATTTTTCCAGGGTTGTCCAAACAAAAGAAACAAGTTTGAATTTCTAAGTTCCCTTACCCACACACATTCTTTTTAAGCCATGATTATACATTGTTGGCGTGATGAATCAACGGTATGCACCTTTTTTCGAGATACCCCTAGTATGATCGTTTTTTCCCTTTGCACCTCGCAAGGTGTTAACTCGCTAATCCGCACTGTTTTCCTCTTAGTGAGACGACAGAGTGATAATTAAGTTTATTATATGGCAAGCTCCGTGTGCGGGCAAGATGAATCAAATCCTACGCTCTGATTGGCTACTCGGGCAAGATGGAGCTATCTTGCCCGCTCGGGACTTCCCGCCGTATCCCGCAAGAAAAATTTCCCCGAAAGCCGCATAACAAATCCTTTATTGGCCAAGCTTGTTCGGTCAAGATGGCTGGATATTGGCCTCGTTCTTTTTTTGCGAGTTTGTGGACCTCGACTCCGTCTGGGTCCATAAGCACGCAAAAAAAGAACTTGGCCAATATCCAGCCATCTTGACCGAACAAGCTTGGTCAATAACCCATACAGGCTGTTCCCATGCAATGCAACTTCCGTTGTTCTAAAATGGTTGTACATGAGATAACTAGCAAATAAATTAACGTCTTATAATATTGTTTATAGTCGCTGCGAAAAATGCACCTCATCGGTATTTGTCTGTGCCAGAAAAACTGCGAACCGGCGATCCCCATCTGTGAAAGTCATGACTTAGATGCTGTACTGTGTCCCTTTCAAGAGCAGTTTGAATCACAGAATGACAACGTGATTTACATTTAAACATCTGTCTCAGTGATCTGTACATAGATCTTGGGTGGACGTAAAAATAAAGTAGCTATGCAACAGAATCCGGAGCAGAACTTTCTACTATGTATAATTTTTATTTCAGTGAATAATAACTCGTCCTTATGGCAAGCTCAAGTAGATTCCAAAAGAAGTCTAGCCATGTTTCACAGAAAACCATTCGCCGGAAGGCATTCCATAATGGACATTTCGCACGTACATTTTTGTATTTCAATAATTCTTAAATAATATTTGTTTTCTATTGTGAGAAAAAGTTTTTTTTTCAACAACTCGAATGGCTTGAAATATGATAGTCTCTGACGATCATTCCAATGTGTTTTCATGCAAATGTCCACTCCGTTCTTGAAGTTCTGTTACAGGAGGCACGAAAGTTACTAAAGTTGACAAAAACGCTTTTCTTCTTATAAATATTTTAACTCTCGCCTCTGAAATACAGCGGATGATTGGAATACCGTTGTTACGAATCATTTAACGGAGCGGAAATGTGTTATAAAAGAAAATACACATCTGTGAAAAAACTTTTGAATTGACTTTTGTGATCGTGTATGTGACTTATGTGCGTAAATGATATCACGATATGTGTCATACTCGTTTTACGCCTACAAATAAATCAAAATAGTGAAAGGATTTAGGGAAAGTTATTCAAACAAAAAAAAAATCTCACGGAAACATTCCCAGTTGACTAATTGATGGAAGCCAAAATAAGATTCTGCATGAAATTGTATTTTTTTTTATCGAAGAACGTTTTCTGCAGTTGAAGTAGAAAAATCTCGAAAACGCTTTCTTTTGCTAGCAATTGTAGTCTTTTAGAACCTTGTCATGTATATTGGCCTAAAATCACTTAGCGACTCATTCGAACGTAAACTATTTTCCAGGATGACATCACCCACACCTCCCTAGTAAGTCGCACGTGACCTCCATTTTTAATGGCGCAGAAAATAACGCTTCGTGATTGGCGAGTGCTTGTCACGTGGGAGTCCGTAACCACAAATCCAACCTCACAAATTTATTCATAGCTTCAAAACAGAGTGATTGGAAGTCGAAGTTCGTCGTTGAGGAATGATTGTTTCGTTGTGTTGTAATATTGTGGTGTCCGCCGAAAGATTTGGACTGAATTTGGCGCTAACGGCATGAAGGTGACAGTGTGTTTTGACTCGGTTCGTGTCATTGTCCCCTGTGGAAATGGCGAACTGACCGTGAGTGAGCTTATAGAGCGAGCGGTTTCAAGATATCGCAAGGCTACAAACAAGGCAAGTGTAAATTCTGTTAAGTTTCCATCTTAATTGACAGTTAGGTATTGATGTTTGAGAAACTTAGGCTTTAGTGGTCTCTTGTATGTGAAGCTTCGAAAGCGACCGAATCAAGATCATTGCCGCTTACGAATTCGACACAAAATGTGCCTCGAGAACCTTCCTGACGGTTTATTAAATTGTCATTTACTACTGCTACTAACGTTTAGTCTTTCCTTGAAGATTGAATAACATTCAAACTTTCTGCGCCGTTTACGGTGCTGTTTTTGAGCTACTTATTTCGTGATTCATGGTATTCAGGGAAAACGTTTACGTGTATTCGATTTCCGGCGTAGTACGGGCGATGAGATGTTCGATTCAAATTCAAATGTATCCAAGGTTTCGAAGTTTGTATCGAGCCAGCAATTGAGAATAATTGCACTAGTCGGTTTCTAAATATTAGATTTTTCACCCTTCGATAGCAACCTTACATAAACATGATACACGGTATAAGCCGCAAGGAAAAATATTCCTGTATCAGCTGGAGTTTCGTCGCCGAAATGTCGGTAAATTGAAGTATGATGCTTTTGTTTTCAGCATGCTACATTGATTTAATGAATATAAGCTCAAGGCAAAACCACAACCGCTTCGTTCCGCTTAAATTTATTTCTTGCAAAGGTGTGCAATGTCCTCGTTAACATATTATCAACCCCAGCTTTGCTTCTTCTCAGGTTTCGCCCTAGCTATCATAAATTGCGTTGTGTATTTACATGATTGGAAGGTTGAATATCAAACCACAAACTGCACAACTTTGAAATGATTATATGCCGTGGTAAATGTGCAAGGTATCGATAGCAAGAGAAGGAGCGATGAAATTGTGACTGACATTTGTAATTATACCGAAAGATCCATTTAATCAACTCTTGGTTTTTATGCGCCGATTATTTTGCAGCCGCCCGATGAGTTTATTCAAGTGCATTTTCTGGAGACGAGCGAAGACCATGGAATACTCGATCCGGACGACATGTTATGCGATGTAGTGGATGATAAGGACAAGGTACAACTATTGCTTTCTTCCCTTGTTTCGTGTCTATTCTGGTGTTTTTCTTAGTAATTACTAGCAGATTAAATTCAAAACTCCTATTCAAAATTCCTAAATGTATCCTGTTTTTATTGAAATTTACAACACTGAAATGAACATTTAATTGATAGCGTGACACGCTTGGCTAAATTGGTCGGCAAACGATTTTCTATTACAAGACAAGAACTCTTTGTTGTTTCTTTGTCATAAGATGTCTTGTATCTCTCCAATTTATATCTCGTTTGGTGTAATTTAGGAATTTCAAATCAGTGTTTTAAGAAGATCAGTCCGATGTTTGTTTAGTGAATTTCAAGTATGAAAGCCTCCTGTTGAGACCGTGTGAAAATATAGCTTTTCCAGACAATCGTTTGAGGGATCATTGCCAATAACGGTTTGGATGACCATACAGTCATCCTTGTTGTAAAAGATGCTTAAAGTGTGGTTTAAACGTTGTTTCCTGCCTTTTTGAGCACTTCAATCCTGTCAATTTGTATTCATACAGGAATTGCAAAATTATATAACTTTTCATGATCACATTGTCATTTCTCTTGACATGCTATTTTGTGGGAAGGTCAGAGATTTGTAAAAGGCGTGCTGGAGTAAACTGTCTTTTTCTCTGTATTTCTACATTTATCCATGGCACATATTTGTTTAATTTATCGCATGGGTCAAAGATTGTAAAATATGTGCACTTTCTGTGTATGCATGGTTCTCAGCACATACATGTATTAGCATGTTTGTGTAGAATGATGGATATCTTATCATGTATACCTGTGTCAACTGAACAAGGTCTCTCCAAAGCTCAACCTTTATCTTACAAACCCGACATTTTTTTTATTCATTCTAAGGATTGATTTACAGTCTAATGGTTTTCTTCTACTGAACCCGAGCATTCATTCGATGTGCAAGATTATTGTGTCTGTGCTTTGAGGGTTTCGCACCATGTTTCATTATTTTACCAGACATAACAATCAACAATGGACATTTTATTAAATAAAACTTCTGTTATCGGAGTCGAGATCAATGATAACAAGGCTTCCAATTGGGAGGTGATTTAAACAGGTCATTTGGTGTCAAGTCCTACAAATCTTTTCCATTTTCATGGGGTATAGCACTGTATGTTGGGTTTAGAAGGAAGTTAATTAAACTAAAATTTAATAAGATTGTAAACTTTCAAAAATATTTTCTAGCCAAAGCTCTTTGTCAAATGCTGCAGACTCAATTCAAATTAAATATAGTCCTACAGGGAGATTATATGTAGTGGCTCAGGTGGATAATTCATACCTGTGAAGGGAAATTAAATTAAGTTGCAACCAACCAGAGCTACCTCATCAGTTATACATTAAATGAACTGGCTCTCATGCAGACGTGAGTCAGGGTGGTATAGAATTCAAATTAAGTGGGTTTCATTCATGAGAGGTCAGTCTTTTCTTGCCCACTGCCCTAGCCTGATTGAGTTGCATGTCAATAAAACATGCTTGTTAAAGTAGTGAATTTTTGTTTCTATGTGTATGTGTTTAGAGAGAATAAAAATTTTATTGTGGATTGTAATGTCACCTTTTTCCTTGAGAAAACAATGTTAAGGGAGGTCCTTAGTACTGTTTGGATACTTTTATTAAATCCTTATTTTAGTCCAAAGGTCAGTAACTAAGTTCTCCTGACATTCCATCATACATTTTCCAAAATTTTTCATTTGAGAACAAGAAGTTTGATAATATAATTTTTGTAGATTATCATCCATTCTCATTGCATGCCTTCCTTGTGGCTGGTTATGATCCAGTATGCAAAGGATTGGAAAGTTATTCAACGCTATGATTAATATGTGGTTTATCACCTCCCCAAGGTGGATAAATATTTAAACCAGTAAGCCTTCCTTGGCAAGCTTTTTAATTCATCCCACTGATCATTTAAACTGTCTTTGGTTTCCTGATTATGTGAAGGTGATTTAAAACAGAATGTTCTGGAGTTTTTGAAGTAATTGTTGTCAGACACAGGCTCCAGTTAACAGCTGTTCTTTTGAAATTCTTATTAATAGCAGTCAGGGTTCTTGGACAGTCTGCGAGAATGGTTGTAGTGATTGTGATTCATGTGGGCTTGCCTCTCTTCTAAGGGGAGAACAAACTTTCTTTCACTCTTGCAATATAGTATGAATGCGACTCAAGTTGAGCTCTGGCAAGGATGTGCTTCTTCTCTCTGTAGGGGTAGAACACATCAGGCTTTTATCTTGACCTAGCCTCTTGAGACAGAGCATCTGGCAGGTCTAACAGCCTGTTACAAAAACATTACTACATGTACTGCGGAAGACTAATATTTTTCTTAAACAATGATCAGATAAAATTTTGTAGGTGGAATGCTCTGGCTCAATTTACTTTAATGTTTTAATTTTTGCATACCAACTCAAAGGTTGCTTTGAATGTCCTGAATGTTCATCAATCAGCTCTTCAGTTTCTGTTGTGGATTTAGATCATAATATTATTAACGATAAGCCCTTCACACTTTTTATTACAGAACTTAGTTTGTCTTTTAATATTGTTAATTCTCAAGGTCTGTGACATCTAGGTTTATGGAACTTATTATAATTACTGGGCCATCTGATGTGATAATATTACTACATATTTCTGTTTTTTCAAGGCTGCCTGGTATCGCAGAAGACATTTAGGGCAGAGAAAAGTTACAAATGTTTAGCCATGCAGTACAGCCCTATAACAGTCATGGCTGTACATGTTAGAATCAATCAAATTTAGGCCAGAAATTCTTCATGCCATCCCAGATATCTTTACTCTGGAGGAAAGTGACCTTCTAACCCAGATTCTAGAAAGCTCCCGCACTTAGCCATCATTGATCAAGTTCTTCATTCTGGAAATATTTGGCATTTTAATTTTTGACAGTGCAGTGAAGTTGTCATTTAGATGTTTACAAGTTGGGAGAACTGTTTGTTTTTGATAATTAAGTTTGATTGAAATGCAGAATATTATCGGATCACTTTGCATGACCTTGACAAATAGGCTGGATCAAAAACTTGCTTTATGTCACATTATGCATAATGTTTAAAGTGTAGTGTACACAGCGTTAGGTGTATAAGAATCATTTAATTAAAACTGCCCATAAGTGGTTTTCAAGAATGGGCCGGTTTTTGTTACTTATTCAAAATTCTATGTTTGCATTTCATTTTCAGTGCTATTTCAAGTCGCAGTCTCAGTAACGGCATTTTGAGTTATTTTGAACATGTACAAAATTGCCTTCAACTGAAGGGACCCTGAAAATAGTAGATAACTTACTTAGAAAAACACCAATTAAAAAAAAAGAGAATAACAAACCATAAAGGAAGCAGGATGGTATCAAAAGGATGGAGAAGATTAACATGCATTACAAATGACAAACTTGAAGAATTTGGGCTAAACATTTCAATATGTACCAACTGTGATGCAGCTCCTTTAAAAAGTCTACACACTCAGTGGCCACATATATTGCCACACAGGGAGAGCTTATTCAAGGTAGTTTCCATAGCAACTACTTGTATCCCTCCCCAGTATCCATAATCAGCGAATTTCACTTCCCTTATTGCTTTATGGAAAATGAAGTTTTCTAGTTTAATTTTTATTTTCCATTCTCAATGGAACCAAAAATAAATTTTTCAATTTACAAAACATGAAACATGAATTTTTTTAAAAAATTAAAATGCCAGCTTAATAATAACATAAATGTGTCATGTAATGACTAATTCTTATGTTAATTCTTACTAGCTACTTGCAGTATTTCAAGAAGGTACCTCGCAGACTCTTCATCGTCCAGCTCAAAATGGTGGATATGGGACAAGTGCGTCATCAGTAGGAACAGCAAGTCCAGACCTCTCCCAGCATGAAGATGAGGCTCCAAAATATATAGAGGAACCGCCGCTGAAACCATATACTTCAATCAACAATAATAAGACTGAAAACACCAATGGTGAAATCAAGACTGTATCCAGGGTAATAAAAAGCCCTCCACCGCCAGTTCCACCTAAACCTGTAAGACATATCAGTGTGAACAGTAGCAGGACCTCTTACATCGAATCGACACCAGCATCAGAAGATTCTGGAATATCTTCACAGGATGATCGATATCGAATAAGTTCGGATTCATCAAAGTCTGAAACAACTGAGAATGTAATAGTGAAACCCACAATTTACAGGACAGGAGAGGCAACATTTGTTGCCATAGGGACGCCTGTTAAACAGGCAATGTATAATGGTCATGCTAACATGGACAGAAGACGTTTTTCATCAACAAGCTCTGACCATGCTGATAATGAACACAGTAATAGTGAAGTGGAAGAAGAAACATTTTCATTGGGTAGGAACAGTACACGGAAATCTATGTTTGTAGACAGCCCTATGCTGGACAGATGGGCAGAGCTACAGGAGGAGAGAATGTTTGTGGTAAGAGACTTAGCCATTATCCTCATACATTTAGCTTTCACATTGTTTGCACTTTTACTCTGATATATGAGAGGTGTGCTCATCCGAGACTGCCAATCAAGTGGTGTATGGTTCTAGTGTGGCTAACATCCCAATTTTTGTGTTCTTCCAAGGGCAACATACTTTTCTAGTGCGCAGTGGATTGATTCTAACTTATTATTTTATCATTTTTACATACGACTGAGAAAATTACTTCATTGTGATTGGTTGAGAGCAAGCCAATTTATTGTTAATTCATAATTTGCACTGCAGTGTAATTTATTAATTTTCTAAGTCATTAAATAAACTAGTACCGGTAATAATTGTATGAAAGCTCAAACAAGTAAGGATTTACACTACTCATATTTCAAAATTCTTTCAAATTGCATTTCCCTAAAGGCTAATACAATTTTGTAAGAAATTTCAAATATCACTCATAGTAAACTCACATACATACAATTCATAAAATTCCTTAATTGTACTTGCATTCGTACATTTACCTTTAGTTAATATTCCCTGTGATGAACTACATGTAGTATCCAATCCAGGTGGAGTTTTGAAATTTCTGGTCATTTCGTGATATCAAGACCTGCAGGATTACAGTACGTGGCATGGTTACAAATGTGACGAGTGTCGGGCTTCTTTCTGGGCCCAAGAATTTGAGCATGCAGTTGACCCTTGCTATCTCAAACTTGGTTGCCTCAAATTCTCGGCTATCTTAAATGCAGACCATTCTCCCTTGGATATGCTCAGTCATGTACTATCGGCTTCTCAGAGTCCCCTGAATTACTTAGAACTATTTTTATTTCCCTTAAGAGTTTGAGATGATGGAATCCACATGTCCCTGCTTTTTACAACTCAGCAAAATTTGTTATTAAGAGTATTCTGTAGAAACATATACTGGTACAGGTATTCATAGTTCATGGTCAAAAGACCTTTGGTTACCTGTAATGTTTACAGTATGTCAAAATGAGCTTGGATGCCTGTGCGAACATGATATATGGAACTTGGAAATCCAGATACACGTAAGCAGAACTTAATTGGTATGTTTCACAAAGGAACTACAAAGCACTTGGAAAGTGGGATTAGTTTTGATATCAATCATTTTTTTCTAGAATAATAACCATCAAGAGGAGCCAGTGAGTACGGTAACATCACCGTCAGAGCCAAGCTCTAATGAACCAGACTTTGCCGCTAAATATAATGATGATCAGCACTCAGAAAGCTCAGAGAGCAGTGGGTAAGTGGACATTTTTTGTATTCACTGCAGACAAGGCAACATGGCTGACTGCTGCTGGGGTGGGTAGGGTAGTGGTCTCAGGGTCATGTCAAACATTCTGCTGTTACAGCTGGATTTTTGTTGGCAGTTACAAGTCCATCCCATGGCCATGTTGTAAATAGCAATATTACATTCATTAAATTCATGAATTTTTTTTTATGTTGTAAATAGCTACACGTAACAGGGTATTTAATTGTGTTGGGATTTTATACTATGTACTGCTCTTTTTAAAAATAGGTTTTGTATTCAAAGCCTCATGTTTTGGAAGCTTTTTGTACTACTTGACGCAAAAGAGATTAATAAATTGTTCATAAGCTATAAACACAAACTGTGTATGGATTTGAAAGCAAACACTGGGGATGTAAAAATACCTAATGCTGCTTTGCGTATAGGTAATAGCTTATTTTGCTCTCATGATTCTGTGACAGAACAGACTTGCCTACATGACAAGCTGCAAAAGCCAAGCTTTAAGGGAGAAAACTGTGAAGGACTTTGAGTTCCAAGTATTGTGATAGATGATTGTCATGTTATTTCGCACAGGGAACCTGATATGCTTATGATTGAGTTAAAACGCGAGGATCCTCTAGAGCCATTAGGATTCACAGTAGCAGGATACAGAACAGCAGATAGCAGGTGCCAAGTTAATATTTTTGTTATTTTTTGTTTTTGTTTTTATCATGTGCCGTGTTTCCTTTTATTTATGAAGTGGGTGGTAAGCCTTCAACTTTAATACGAGTGTCTAGTTGGTTTCTGTATGTCATACCAGGAATGGTTGCAGTGGTGGCGGATTAAGAAGCTCTAGGATTAAATTAAAAGGGGAGGGACTAAAGTCAATGTGGACCTTCTCAAAAGTGGGGTGCAGAAAGGGGGACCTGCTCCAGTAAGCAGAGCGGTAAGGTCCCATCCACTTGTAATCCACTCTCTCAGGGGAAATTCACACAAAAATCCTAGCCAAAATCACTTAACTTAACAATATCTCAAAGTTGTCTTCAATATGTCAAGTATTATTATTGTTTTTTTCTAATAGGGAACTTGGTCTCATTGTTCGTAATATTTCACCCTCCGGCTGTGCGGCAAGAGATGGTAGACTTGAAGTAAGTTGCTTGTAATTTTAATTTGGGCATTTGTTTTGTGTAATTTGTGGCTATAAATTATATCACTTTCACCCTTGGAAAATTGTTCATCCATTCATTTGTTACATCGTTCACTCATTCATTCATTTGTTTGTTTGTTCATTCGTTCGTCCTTTCATTCTTTTATTTGTTTGTTTGTTCGTTCGTTCGTACGTTCGTTAATTCATTCGTTCTTCATTATTTCTGCAGATTGCTGATAGGATTGTTGAGGTTAATGGATGGAGTCTTTTGGACATGCCAAATGAAAGGTAACGAAACCAAAATCACCATCATTATGTTTAACTGTTTGGCCTGTGGCACAAATGCTTGCCACTTCTTTGTTACATTATATTCTGATGCATGATGTTACGTGCACAAAAACGTCTCCTCTACATAAGGTACACATGTAAGAAAATTCACACTCAAACCTGCATTTTTGTCGCCTTTCAGAGCAGAGGAGCTGTTTGCTGCTGCTATCAAGGCGCCTGTGGTCAACCTTGGTGTGTCGCGTTCACATTCATTTGTTCCTGGACAGAAGAGTGACGCACAACATGAAGGGGAAGTCATACAAGCTCGGCCTGCACCAGAAAATAGCCAATCAGAGCCTCAGGAGCAATCACAGAGAGAAGTATTACCTTTAACACCTCAATCACTCGTTGGTTCACCTTCGATTCCTGATAGCAGCTTCAAGAAAGTTAACAAGAGAATTCTTATTGAACTAATGAAAGGTAAGAGTATTAACAACAAACAGAGTTAAAGTTATTACTTGGTCTGTTCAAAGTGCAGTTAAGCTACAATTTTAAACTTTCCAGTGAAGGTTTTTATTCACAGTTTTTGAAATTAAATAATCTCAAATTCTAAGAGAAGTAACAATGAAAAACACGTTCACTTCTATAGCTGTACAAGAGAAATTTAAACTGCGGCCATCTTTTAGTCTTAAATTTATGTTGATCAGCTGTCAAACAACCCTGCACATTGGAGGTGCAGTGGCTTTATGGTTAGCGAGCTGGTCTCCGAATCGAGCTGTCTGGGTTCAAGCCCTGGCCTGGGTCATAGTCTTGTGTTCTTGGGCAAGACACTCCACGCTCACAGTACCTGTCTTTCCCCAAGTGTAGAAGTGTATACCGGCGAATTAAATGCTGGGGGTAAGCCTGCAATGGACCAGCATCCCATCCAGGGGGAGTAGAAGTACTCTTAGTTGCTTCATCCTACAGAAACCGGGAGAAGCTCCGGCTGTGCAGGCCTCTAGGAGACTAGCGATTAGTAGTACTAATACAAGGCTTACTTTTTCAGGAAATGACGGTCTTGGATTTAGCATCACAACACGTGACAATCCTGCAGGAGGGAATACTCCCATATTTGTGAAGAGTATCTTGCCTAAAGGTGCTGCTATTGAAGGCGGCCAGTTAAAAGCTGGTGATCAAATTGTGGAGGTGTGTATCTGTAAAAGCCTTGTATTGAAATAACCTAAAGAAACAGTTTTGGCTTTAATCGTTATTATGCTTTTGAACGGTGTAGAGACGATAAGGAGTCAAATGTTCTTCATATTTTCCATTTAAAACCCCAAAATAGCGTGCTCAATTGCAGTCTCTTTCGCAGCCGTTATTAAGGTCGTCACGAAACGCTTCTCCCTCACTTAGTGGGGGGAAGCGTTGCGTGACGCCCCTAATGACGGCTGCGAAGAAGACTAGGCCAAGTGGCCAGGGCGCCGGACTTGAAATCCCGAAGACACGGGTTCAAATTCCGTTCTGACGACTATTTGGAGGTGTTTCATGTTAGGCCACAGTAGTAAATAGTCAACTTGTAATTTGCCACTTTTCCTTATTGTTCGTTTTGGCTGCCTTTTTTCAGGTAAACGGGCAGAAAATGGCCGGCAAAAGCCAAGCGGAAGCCGTGAATACTCTTCGAGGCACCAGAGGTCTGGTGACGATTCTAGTTCAAAGAGAAGAAGTGGTTCAATCTCCCCGGACGCCCGCTATAGAGGTAAGAATCAAGAAACAAGGCTGATTTGCAATGAACATTGCTTTATTTTATATTTTGATTTATTTTAAACGTGTGAAACAAGCACAAAAATAGTGTTTGTATGTCTAGTTTTTGTTCTAGACAGTATTTGATTTCTTTTTACTAAGCTTGGTGATTAATTGACAAAACCAATCGGAGCGGAGTTGTTGTTTTCTGGCCAATCATGTGCGGGAAATTCAAACCACTTATGATTTTTTCCCGCGCTTGCTTGCGACATGGTATCCGCATGACTTCCCGCGCATGCCGGCTACATCATGTTTTGCCGCGCTCGACACTGGTTACGGGTCGCTTTCTGATTGGTGTATTGCAGTTTTCCACCCGTCAGTGATTATTAAACTACAGCACTTGTTCAGCTGCCATAAATTTTAAAAAAAATGACTTAAGCCTGGATTTCATGTAAAAGTAAAATCCCCGATCGTCTGGGATTTTCCCGACATATGAAAACCAGGCTTTAGAGCTGAGTAGTTTTAATATGTAGTACCGTCTGTTTTTCCTCTAAAGGTCAATGAAGACAGCTTGCGCCATTTTAGGGAAGAAGGTCTCCAAGTACTTACATTCAAAATTCCTTTGGACCTGTCTGGCGCGGCAGGCCTGGGCGTGAGTGTAAAAGGCAAGTCACGTGCTACGTCTCAACAAGGTCGCGACAGTCCTCAAGACAAAGGCATCTTTGTCAAGTCTATTATTCCAGGGGGTGCTGCAGCCAAGGATAACCGTCTATGCCCAGACGACCAGCTCCTCCGTGTGAACAATAAATCCCTGGTGGGTTTAACGAACCAATCGGCAATGGAGACTCTGAGACTTGCTATGCAATCCACGAGACCCAATCAGGCTTTCATTGATGTTACCATAGCGCGTGAACAAGACGAGACCAACCCACCCCCCGGGGAGTTACTCCAGAGCAGGTCCCTTGAGGAGCTGAACGCGCCTGATCAAGAGAGGCCCATAGAAGCAGTGTCTGTGGAGGAGCCACAGCGCAGTACCTCAGAAACTGATGGCGGTGTTCCCAATAAAGAACGTAAGTNTGCATTACAAATGACAAACTTGAAGAATTTGGGCTAAACATTTCAATATGTACCAACTGTGATGCAGCTCCTTTAAAAAGTCTACACACTCAGTGGCCACATATATTGCCACACAGGGAGAGCTTATTCAAGGTAGTTTCCATAGCAACTACTTGTATCCCTCCCCAGTATCCATAATCAGCGAATTTCACTTCCCTTATTGCTTTATGGAAAATGAAGTTTTCTAGTTTAATTTTTATTTTCCATTCTCAATGGAACCAAAAATAAATTTTTCAATTTACAAAACATGAAACATGAATTTTTTTAAAAAATTAAAATGCCAGCTTAATAATAACATAAATGTGTCATGTAATGACTAATTCTTATGTTAATTCTTACTAGCTACTTGCAGTATTTCAAGAAGGTACCTCGCAGACTCTTCATCGTCCAGCTCAAAATGGTGGATATGGGACAAGTGCGTCATCAGTAGGAACAGCAAGTCCAGACCTCTCCCAGCATGAAGATGAGGCTCCAAAATATATAGAGGAACCGCCGCTGAAACCATATACTTCAATCAACAATAATAAGACTGAAAACACCAATGGTGAAATCAAGACTGTATCCAGGGTAATAAAAAGCCCTCCACCGCCAGTTCCACCTAAACCTGTAAGACATATCAGTGTGAACAGTAGCAGGACCTCTTACATCGAATCGACACCAGCATCAGAAGATTCTGGAATATCTTCACAGGATGATCGATATCGAATAAGTTCGGATTCATCAAAGTCTGAAACAACTGAGAATGTAATAGTGAAACCCACAATTTACAGGACAGGAGAGGCAACATTTGTTGCCATAGGGACGCCTGTTAAACAGGCAATGTATAATGGTCATGCTAACATGGACAGAAGACGTTTTTCATCAACAAGCTCTGACCATGCTGATAATGAACACAGTAATAGTGAAGTGGAAGAAGAAACATTTTCATTGGGTAGGAACAGTACACGGAAATCTATGTTTGTAGACAGCCCTATGCTGGACAGATGGGCAGAGCTACAGGAGGAGAGAATGTTTGTGGTAAGAGACTTAGCCATTATCCTCATACATTTAGCTTTCACATTGTTTGCACTTTTACTCTGATATATGAGAGGTGTGCTCATCCGAGACTGCCAATCAAGTGGTGTATGGTTCTAGTGTGGCTAACATCCCAATTTTTGTGTTCTTCCAAGGGCAACATACTTTTCTAGTGCGCAGTGGATTGATTCTAACTTATTATTTTATCATTTTTACATACGACTGAGAAAATTACTTCATTGTGATTGGTTGAGAGCAAGCCAATTTATTGTTAATTCATAATTTGCACTGCAGTGTAATTTATTAATTTTCTAAGTCATTAAATAAACTAGTACCGGTAATAATTGTATGAAAGCTCAAACAAGTAAGGATTTACACTACTCATATTTCAAAATTCTTTCAAATTGCATTTCCCTAAAGGCTAATACAATTTTGTAAGAAATTTCAAATATCACTCATAGTAAACTCACATACATACAATTCATAAAATTCCTTAATTGTACTTGCATTCGTACATTTACCTTTAGTTAATATTCCCTGTGATGAACTACATGTAGTATCCAATCCAGGTGGAGTTTTGAAATTTCTGGTCATTTCGTGATATCAAGACCTGCAGGATTACAGTACGTGGCATGGTTACAAATGTGACGAGTGTCGGGCTTCTTTCTGGGCCCAAGAATTTGAGCATGCAGTTGACCCTTGCTATCTCAAACTTGGTTGCCTCAAATTCTCGGCTATCTTAAATGCAGACCATTCTCCCTTGGATATGCTCAGTCATGTACTATCGGCTTCTCAGAGTCCCCTGAATTACTTAGAACTATTTTTATTTCCCTTAAGAGTTTGAGATNACTTTTACTCTGATATATGAGAGGTGTGCTCACCCGAGACTGCCAATCAAGTGGTGTATGGTTCTAGTGTGGCTAACATCCCAATTTTTGTGTTCTTCCAAGGGCAACATACTTTTCTAGCATGCAGTGGATTGATTCTAACTTATTATTTTATTATTTTTACATACGACTGAGAAAATTACTCCATTGTGATTGGTTGAAAGCAAGCCAATTTATTGTTAATTCATAATTTGCACTGCAGTGTAATTTATTAATTTTCTCAGTCATTAAATAAATGAGTACTGGTAATAATTGCATGAAAGCTCAAACAAGTAAGCATTTACACTACTCATATTTCAAAATTCTTTCCCTAAAGGCTCATACAATTTTGTAAGAAATTTTCAAATATCACTCATAGTAAACTGTCATTCATACAATTCATAAAATTCCTTAATTGCACTCGCATTCATACATTTACCTTTAGTAAATATTCCCTGTGATGGACTATATGTAGTATCCAATCCAGGTGGAGTTTTGAAATTTCTGGTCATTTCGTGATATCAAGACCTGCAGGATTACAGTACGTGGCATGGTTACAAATGTGACGAGTGTCGGGCTTCTTTCTGGGCCCAAGAATTTGAGCATGCAGTTGACCCTTGCTATCTCAAACTTGGTTGCCTCAAATTCTTGGCTATCTTAAATGTAGACCATTCTCCCTTGGATATGCTCAGTCATGTACTATCGGCTTCTCACAGTCCCCTGAATTACCAGTACTTAGAACTATAATTTTTTATTTCCCTTAAGAGTTTGAGATAATGGAATCCACATGTCTCTGCTTTTTACAACTCAGCAAAATTTGTTATTAAGAGTATTCTGTAGAAACATATACTGGTACAGGTATTCATAGTTCATGGTCAAAAGACCTTTGGTTACCTGTAATGTTTACAGTATGTCAAAATGAGCTTGGATGCCTGTGCGAACATGATATATGGAACTTGGAAATCCAGATACACGTAAGCAGAACTTAATTGGTATGTTTCACAAAGGAACTACAAAGCACTTGGAAAGTGGGATTAGTTTTGATATCAATCATTTTTTTCTAGAATAATAACCATCAAGAGGAGCCAGTGAGTACGGTAACATCACCGTCAGAGCCAAGCTCTAATGAACCAGACTTTGCCACTAAATATAATGATGATCAGCACTCGGAAAGCTCAGAGAGTAGTGGGTAAGTGGATGTTTTTATTATTCACTTCAAACAAGGCAACATGGCTGATTGGCACTGGGGTGGGTAGGGTAGTGGTCTCAGGGTCATGCCAAACATTCTGCTGTTACAGCTGAATTTTTGTCGGCAGTTACAAGTCCATCCCATGGCCACGTTGTAAATAGCAATATTAAATTCATTAAATTCATGAATTTTTTTNCTCGGCTATCTTAAATGCAGACCATTCTCCCTTGGATATGCTCAGTCATGTACTATCGGCTTCTCAGAGTCCCCTGAATTACTTAGAACTATTTTTATTTCCCTTAAGAGTTTGAGATGATGGAATCCACATGTCCCTGCTTTTTACAACTCAGCAAAATTTGTTATTAAGAGTATTCTGTAGAAACATATACTGGTACAGGTATTCATAGTTCATGGTCAAAAGACCTTTGGTTACCTGTAATGTTTACAGTATGTCAAAATGAGCTTGGATGCCTGTGCGAACATGATATATGGAACTTGGAAATCCAGATACACGTAAGCAGAACTTAATTGGTATGTTTCACAAAGGAACTACAAAGCACTTGGAAAGTGGGATTAGTTTTGATATCAATCATTTTTTTCTAGAATAATAACCATCAAGAGGAGCCAGTGAGTACGGTAACATCACCGTCAGAGCCAAGCTCTAATGAACCAGACTTTGCCGCTAAATATAATGATGATCAGCACTCAGAAAGCTCAGAGAGCAGTGGGTAAGTGGACATTTTTTGTATTCACTGCAGACAAGGCAACATGGCTGACTGCTGCTGGGGTGGGTAGGGTAGTGGTCTCAGGGTCATGTCAAACATTCTGCTGTTACAGCTGGATTTTTGTTGGCAGTTACAAGTCCATCCCATGGCCATGTTGTAAATAGCAATATTACATTCATTAAATTCATGAATTTTTTTTTATGTTGTAAATAGCTACACGTAACAGGGTATTTAATTGTGTTGGGATTTTATACTATGTACTGCTCTTTTTAAAAATAGGTTTTGTATTCAAAGCCTCATGTTTTGGAAGCTTTTTGTACTACTTGACGCAAAAGAGATTAATAAATTGTTCATAAGCTATAAACACAAACTGTGTATGGATTTGAAAGCAAACACTGGGGATGTAAAAATACCTAATGCTGCTTTGCGTATAGGTAATAGCTTATTTTGCTCTCATGATTCTGTGACAGAACAGACTTGCCTACATGACAAGCTGCAAAAGCCAAGCTTTAAGGGAGAAAACTGTGAAGGACTTTGAGTTCCAAGTATTGTGATAGATGATTGTCATGTTATTTCGCACAGGGAACCTGATATGCTTATGATTGAGTTAAAACGCGAGGATCCTCTAGAGCCATTAGGATTCACAGTAGCAGGATACAGAACAGCAGATAGCAGGTGCCAAGTTAATATTTTTGTTATTTTTTGTTTTTGTTTTTATCATGTGCCGTGTTTCCTTTTATTTATGAAGTGGGTGGTAAGCCTTCAACTTTAATACGAGTGTCTAGTTGGTTTCTGTATGTCATACCAGGAATGGTTGCAGTGGTGGCGGATTAAGAAGCTCTAGGATTAAATTAAAAGGGGAGGGACTAAAGTCAATGTGGACCTTCTCAAAAGTGGGGTGCAGAAAGGGGGACCTGCTCCAGTAAGCAGAGCGGTAAGGTCCCATCCACTTGTAATCCACTCTCTCAGGGGAAATTCACACAAAAATCCTAGCCAAAATCACTTAACTTAACAATATCTCAAAGTTGTCTTCAATATGTCAAGTATTATTATTGTTTTTTTCTAATAGGGAACTTGGTCTCATTGTTCGTAATATTTCACCCTCCGGCTGTGCGGCAAGAGATGGTAGACTTGAAGTAAGTTGCTTGTAATTTTAATTTGGGCATTTGTTTTGTGTAATTTGTGGCTATAAATTATATCACTTTCACCCTTGGAAAATTGTTCATCCATTCATTTGTTACATCGTTCACTCATTCATTCATTTGTTTGTTTGTTCATTCGTTCGTCCTTTCATTCTTTTATTTGTTTGTTTGTTCGTTCGTTCGTACGTTCGTTAATTCATTCGTTCTTCATTATTTCTGCAGATTGCTGATAGGATTGTTGAGGTTAATGGATGGAGTCTTTTGGACATGCCAAATGAAAGGTAACGAAACCAAAATCACCATCATTATGTTTAACTGTTTGGCCTGTGGCACAAATGCTTGCCACTTCTTTGTTACATTATATTCTGATGCATGATGTTACGTGCACAAAAACGTCTCCTCTACATAAGGTACACATGTAAGAAAATTCACACTCAAACCTGCATTTTTGTCGCCTTTCAGAGCAGAGGAGCTGTTTGCTGCTGCTATCAAGGCGCCTGTGGTCAACCTTGGTGTGTCGCGTTCACATTCATTTGTTCCTGGACAGAAGAGTGACGCACAACATGAAGGGGAAGTCATACAAGCTCGGCCTGCACCAGAAAATAGCCAATCAGAGCCTCAGGAGCAATCACAGAGAGAAGTATTACCTTTAACACCTCAATCACTCGTTGGTTCACCTTCGATTCCTGATAGCAGCTTCAAGAAAGTTAACAAGAGAATTCTTATTGAACTAATGAAAGGTAAGAGTATTAACAACAAACAGAGTTAAAGTTATTACTTGGTCTGTTCAAAGTGCAGTTAAGCTACAATTTTAAACTTTCCAGTGAAGGTTTTTATTCACAGTTTTTGAAATTAAATAATCTCAAATTCTAAGAGAAGTAACAATGAAAAACACGTTCACTTCTATAGCTGTACAAGAGAAATTTAAACTGCGGCCATCTTTTAGTCTTAAATTTATGTTGATCAGCTGTCAAACAACCCTGCACATTGGAGGTGCAGTGGCTTTATGGTTAGCGAGCTGGTCTCCGAATCGAGCTGTCTGGGTTCAAGCCCTGGCCTGGGTCATAGTCTTGTGTTCTTGGGCAAGACACTCCACGCTCACAGTACCTGTCTTTCCCCAAGTGTAGAAGTGTATACCGGCGAATTAAATGCTGGGGGTAAGCCTGCAATGGACCAGCATCCCATCCAGGGGGAGTAGAAGTACTCTTAGTTGCTTCATCCTACAGAAACCGGGAGAAGCTCCGGCTGTGCAGGCCTCTAGGAGACTAGCGATTAGTAGTACTAATACAAGGCTTACTTTTTCAGGAAATGACGGTCTTGGATTTAGCATCACAACACGTGACAATCCTGCAGGAGGGAATACTCCCATATTTGTGAAGAGTATCTTGCCTAAAGGTGCTGCTATTGAAGGCGGCCAGTTAAAAGCTGGTGATCAAATTGTGGAGGTGTGTATCTGTAAAAGCCTTGTATTGAAATAACCTAAAGAAACAGTTTTGGCTTTAATCGTTATTATGCTTTTGAACGGTGTAGAGACGATAAGGAGTCAAATGTTCTTCATATTTTCCATTTAAAACCCCAAAATAGCGTGCTCAATTGCAGTCTCTTTCGCAGCCGTTATTAAGGTCGTCACGAAACGCTTCTCCCTCACTTAGTGGGGGGAAGCGTTGCGTGACGCCCCTAATGACGGCTGCGAAGAAGACTAGGCCAAGTGGCCAGGGCGCCGGACTTGAAATCCCGAAGACACGGGTTCAAATTCCGTTCTGACGACTATTTGGAGGTGTTTCATGTTAGGCCACAGTAGTAAATAGTCAACTTGTAATTTGCCACTTTTCCTTATTGTTCGTTTTGGCTGCCTTTTTTCAGGTAAACGGGCAGAAAATGGCCGGCAAAAGCCAAGCGGAAGCCGTGAATACTCTTCGAGGCACCAGAGGTCTGGTGACGATTCTAGTTCAAAGAGAAGAAGTGGTTCAATCTCCCCGGACGCCCGCTATAGAGGTAAGAATCAAGAAACAAGGCTGATTTGCAATGAACATTGCTTTATTTTATATTTTGATTTATTTTAAACGTGTGAAACAAGCACAAAAATAGTGTTTGTATGTCTAGTTTTTGTTCTAGACAGTATTTGATTTCTTTTTACTAAGCTTGGTGATTAATTGACAAAACCAATCGGAGCGGAGTTGTTGTTTTCTGGCCAATCATGTGCGGGAAATTCAAACCACTTATGATTTTTTCCCGCGCTTGCTTGCGACATGGTATCCGCATGACTTCCCGCGCATGCCGGCTACATCATGTTTTGCCGCGCTCGACACTGGTTACGGGTCGCTTTCTGATTGGTGTATTGCAGTTTTCCACCCGTCAGTGATTATTAAACTACAGCACTTGTTCAGCTGCCATAAATTTTAAAAAAAATGACTTAAGCCTGGATTTCATGTAAAAGTAAAATCCCCGATCGTCTGGGATTTTCCCGACATATGAAAACCAGGCTTTAGAGCTGAGTAGTTTTAATATGTAGTACCGTCTGTTTTTCCTCTAAAGGTCAATGAAGACAGCTTGCGCCATTTTAGGGAAGAAGGTCTCCAAGTACTTACATTCAAAATTCCTTTGGACCTGTCTGGCGCGGCAGGCCTGGGCGTGAGTGTAAAAGGCAAGTCACGTGCTACGTCTCAACAAGGTCGCGACAGTCCTCAAGACAAAGGCATCTTTGTCAAGTCTATTATTCCAGGGGGTGCTGCAGCCAAGGATAACCGTCTATGCCCAGACGACCAGCTCCTCCGTGTGAACAATAAATCCCTGGTGGGTTTAACGAACCAATCGGCAATGGAGACTCTGAGACTTGCTATGCAATCCACGAGACCCAATCAGGCTTTCATTGATGTTACCATAGCGCGTGAACAAGACGAGACCAACCCACCCCCCGGGGAGTTACTCCAGAGCAGGTCCCTTGAGGAGCTGAACGCGCCTGATCAAGAGAGGCCCATAGAAGCAGTGTCTGTGGAGGAGCCACAGCGCAGTACCTCAGAAACTGATGGCGGTGTTCCCAATAAAGAACGTAAGTTCTTGTTCACTGTATGCTCAACCACTTGCGAACTTGCATCATTTACTAGACTAGATGCACATCCTTCGATGTGCTGCTACTTTAATGAAACATATTTTGTTCGCTCTTGCAAGGCGCGGTGGCCTCATGGTTAGTGCGCTCGTCTCCGGATCGAGCGGTCCTGGCTCGAGCCCTGGCCGGGGACATTGCGTTGTGTTCTTGGACAAGACATTTTACTCGAAGTGCCTCTCTCCACCCAGGTGTATAAATGGATACCGGTAAATTTAATGCTGCGGGTAACCCTGCGATGGACTAGCATCCCATCCAGGGGGGAGTAGAAATACTCCTAGTCGCTTCATGCTACAGAAACCGGGATACGCTTCGCCCTGATGGGCCACTTGGCTCGTATACAGACATATCGCTCTTGAAATTTAGTTCGTTTGTCTTTTGTTTGTTTCTTAGGACATCCAAGTAGCGAGGAAGATCAGTTTAACGAGTCAATCACCAATAAAAATCTAACTCCTATTCGTGCGAGAAATGCCGTGCATCGTAACGACTCTTACTGTGTGGCCGTCAACAAGAGCCAGAGTCCTGGAACCCAGTTCTACAGTCCTTTCAGGCAACGCCCAGTTCATCGCCTTAGTCCCCTGGCCATGGGAAATAACCGGGCGCAACCCCTTGCTCCAAGTTCACTAGCAATAGCATCGCCGTCAGGAGCTTCTACTTCATCTGCAGAAAATGTTCCTGCAGGAAGACCCACTAGCACTGTTGCCATACCAACGCCTCCTGTAGGTACCACCGACGAGAGGCCCTCGGGACCTGGTAGCCCTTCACAGGCAACTGTTAAGCTACCACCGCCTCTGCCCCCACCAAGATGGGACTCGGCAGCAGATAATTACCGTTTGCCAGCGGGGCTCCAATTAAGGCTCAAAATGCCAGACCCGCAAAGAGCCCAGGAACAAAGAGACCAGGAAGGAGGGAGCAATGCTAGCTTGCCCAGTACTCCACCCCCACCCGCTCAGTTTACGAACCAGTCGCCCACGACGGAATTCCCTCCTTCATATGACCAGGCGGTAGCCCGCCTTGGAAGGTCTCCACACGCGTCCGTGAGCTCGGAACCTACGACACCGAGTAAAACATGGACAGAAGACAGTGTTGAAAATCCGATCATCGCTCCTCCTAGTCCGTTTTCCTCCGAAGATGGCAATCCATTCCAAAGAGACGGATTCGGACGCCTGTCCATGTCGGAGAAAAGAGGCAGAGCGGCCCTGGACGCTAGGCAGTCGGAGTACTTCATAAAACGAGATCAGGAGAGAAATGAAAGTAAGAAAGCTTTACTATATTGTGACTAATCGTGTGGATAATTTGAGCGTAAGGCTAGATCAAACCAGAACGGCCTCTTGTTGACTTCGATCAGCGCTTTATTAAACGAGCCGCAAGAACGCGGAGTGGACATGTTCTGCCAGTCCAACGAACTAAGACACTCGTAGGGGATTCTCCTGGAAATAGAGCAGTTTCAAATTCTGTGAAAGCGCACGACAGCCGATTTGAATGCTCTTGTTTCATCGCAATTTATCTCAAGTGTTGTTTGACTTTCTACTTTTCTTTACTAATCGCGCGACTTTCGTTGTTATCGCAGCAGATAACTCAGAGGAAGGCGAAGTCGAAGAGGAAGAAACTAACCCAACTATACAACAGCATCCTCTTAGAAGGGCCGACTCGGAAGATCAGCTGCGGCAACAGTTCGAAGATGGTAAGAAAGAAAGCAGTTGTGCATAGAAACAATTTGAAACAAAACCAAATGACAGGACGAGAAAACCTAACAAAAGTAGTCAACCCATTTAAACGTAAGACAGCCAACGATAACAAGCATAGAGATGGGTTCCCAAGTTGAAATTGTAAATCTCGTTGTTTTAAGGGCTTTATAATTACACAAAACTGACTTATGAATGTTCTATTCCATTTGCTAGATTCCAGAGAAGAAATACGGACTTCTCCTTATGGCCGGATGCAAAAGAGCCGTTCAACTGGGCAGCTAAAACTTGTAGGAATCAAAAACGTCAAAGACAAAAAGTAAGTACTGTCGAAATTCAAAATCATTCGCGAAACGAAACCAAACTGTTGGTTTGATTATGAAGTACAGCAGTTGAGATAATTCAGGAACTCATTCGAAAGTGGCGACAGCTAATGAAGGTGGGCTGGAATTGAACTGCAATGTTTGAAAACGTATTCCCACTTATCTCATGCCAAATTAAAAGCTCACTGAAAAAGGTGAAAGCGATATCTAGCTGCCTGGTAAAGCAGCAGATGTTTCTTGATCAGTTAAATGGAAATCTGGACTCCTCTCGCAGTCTGCAAAGATAACGTTGTTTAAACTCACGTGCCTGTTTTCAACTTCTTGTTTTCAGATCAAAAAGCAATGACAACCTGAGTTTCACTAGTGCTGTGGAAAATGCCAACCGATCTTATCCAGGTGACCTCATTTTCTGTTATTTATAAAATCGCATATTCATAGCATTTCAGGAGTACTATAATTGCTGTTTTGTGTAAAACGAAACTACACTGACTCTATTCATGTAGTTAGGTGAAATGAAGTTTTCCGTGTACAGACAATGACCTCTATGTGACATTTGTTTTGCGTGACATTGCAGGTGACATCCAGAATGGTCACGCCAGGTTTAGTCCGTCTGAAGAGGAAGTACCCATCACAATGAAAAGTAACGCGGACTTCAGTGCAGTGCAACAGAAACTTGCTGCGAAAAAGCCTTTCTACAAAGGAATCAGTTCTGTGTTTAAGTAAGTCCTCGTCCATCTGTCAATGTTTTTTTTTTTTCAAGCTATCTTGGCAGGCTTTGAACTCGAACAGCGCCTTGATTAATTACAGCAAACATGCTGTTTATTTCCAACCAATTTGGAGTACAGCAAAACAAAAACTTCTCTTGATTCGGCTGACACTTGCTTTCTCGCGTTTTGCACGGCTTACATCATTTCCCGCGCTCAAAACAGGTTTTCCGCGGTTGGCACCTGTGGCACTTTTTCCCGCGCTTGTTAATACGGTTACACATTTTCCCGCGCTTGTTACTACGGTTACACCTTTTTCGGGGTTTCGTGAGGGTGACACTTTTTTCCTCGCTCGGCATCGGTTAGTCGTTTTCATGTCTTCGCAAAACCCCGGTGCAGCTTTATTATTGCGCGGTAAGGTTTTTTGATGTAAAACTTGAATGCTATGTGATTAATTTTCCCTCTAGGATCGGCAAAACCAGGCGCGGAGATTACAATCTATCAGACAGTGATGGGTCGGCCTTCAAGCACACGTACAACAGAGAAGCTCTCATCGACTTTCCATCCGAACAGAGATACCGACAGCTTGTCAATCATTACGGTCAGGAGAAACCCTCAGAGCGCTCCAACACGCTGCCGACACGCAGCCGAAAGAAACACGAAGCCAAAGAAAAGGCGCTCGAAGAAAAACGACCCGTGCAGACGATGAAAGTCGGAAGAGTGACAGTTACTCCGCCCACGAGGGTTTGACGCACGTGGCTTACAACCTTGAGTAACAGTTACTATGGTATCTGTGTTCATACGTTGCTTAGAGTCCTGAGTGACGGTTGCTAAGGGACACCGAGCACATAACGTGTCTTTATCTACATGTCAAATTTTCTTCGCGTATTTCGTCTGGAAGAGAAATGACGGTTTTTTTAATCGAGGAATGCGTCACCGCCCTGGTGATTTAAGATTAATGTTATTTTTCCGTCTCAGGACACCCATCTATGAATCCTGTGGGTTATTAATCGCTTTGGGAAAGTGGGATTTCGCGAAACAAAATTCTTGCATGAAAAGGATCGTTTATTGAGTGTCATCGTGTATCAAAATGATGAAAAAAAGCTTTATACATGAGGTGACTCCAATAACAATCTAATGTACGTCCTTAATGTTCTGTGCAGCCAGACGTAAGAATTATCTTTTCCTACAGCACTTAAAACACGCCCAGGCGATATTAAGCTTAATTTATCGCAATGTATTTGTAGATTTGTTTCCTAAAGAGCGATTATTTTTTGAAACAAAAAAAGAAAATCCAATATTTTGCTCGTCGTTTTTGTAAAATACCTCAAAAGCATATCTTACCTTGTAGTGTATATATACGCCGCGTTTAATTAATTAGTTGAATAGTAGGTTTTGATAGAATTATGTCCAATATATACATATAATTAGCTAGGTTTGTAATAATTGTTTTCAGTTGCGGTTACCCGAGAGTAATTAAACTCATTTATGAAAATTGTTGGCCATACTCTACCTTAAACGATCAGCTGTGCCGACATTAAACGGTTGTTTTGTAATCACGAGTTGTTTGTCTGCAAATTGAATTAGCCACTTTAGAATGAGGAGAAGTCTGGAGCGAGTCTCATCTCGCAGTGGCTTGTGTTACAGTTACTGGCGGCAGCATGACTCCTTCAGCATGCGCGAGTTTTAGCCGCGCGCCAGGTTCCAAGTTTGAAAACAATGGCGGGAATTTTGTCGATCGTGTAAAGAAAAAGAAGTTACGAACGTAATATGCTTTCCCAATTTTTCCGGTAAGCAGCAACATTCTCATGTCACTAATGGAAATCTGGTGTATTGATTTCGTGGGGAATCTTTTTTTTTTCTTTCGAACAAAATTAACATTAAAATAATAATAATAATAATAATAATAATAATAATAATAATATTTAATATTTCTAAGGCGCAAATTAACATGTGAATATGATCAAATGCGCCTATTAAAGAAGGTTTCCGAACCCTTACCTTCCCGCTGTGTACAAGAAATTTCGGTGCGAAGACACATTTTTTTCCCACAAACCCTCTTTACATATTCCTCCATATAAGCTCACTACTAAATGTATAACCAAGAAAACCTCTCAGCAGGCAGGGGAGCCTTGTTTTCTTTTAAACAGTGAAATGCCGAAAAAAGTCGTGCTTGCCCAATTATAAATTAATCAACCGATCCACGTCCTCGCGTACCTTATTACAGTCTGCCGTTCTTTCCACCACCCGCAGGTATGGCGAGAGACGAGCAGAAAGCTGCGCAGTACGTTTTTCCGCTCTATAAATGGCTTCTCATCTTCTGTTCTCTCCAGTGACGATCCCACAAGCGTTTGCGAGATGAGATCGCATCAGATTTCTTCACGTTTCTAAAGAAGCGAATAGACTTTTTCACGGTTACCTTGTCTCATTTGCATTACATTATAAACTAAATGTAAAATGCGAATTGCGCATTTTAATTTTCAGTGCTGCCAGTAGGTACTGACAGAAGAGGAATTAATTACCGAGGGGAATTTTCGAATTCTCTAAAATAGTAACATGAAGGGTGCATGGTGGCCAGTAGTAAGAATTTGTATCCTGACCTTAAAGTTGGTTTCGTTTAGGTTTAGCGCGGGTGCACCTGGTTCTCTCTATTATTGAGGCAAAAAAAAACATTCGTTCATAATTAACTCCGTCGCCAGTCAGGTGTCGCCGTCTTCTTGTAGTTATTAGGCTGATTTAGCAAGGGAACGGGAACGTCACTTGACGACGGCGCACGCAGTACAAATAACCAAATATGGTCAGATGACGACTGCACGGCGCGCGGAATAACCTAGATTCTGTTCTAATTTGACCATATTTGGCTATTTATACTACGCGCGCCGTCGTCAAGTGACGTTCCCGTTCTCTTGCTAAATCAGCCTAGTATCACTAAAGGCTAACGCTTCGGCCAACTGGACTAGAGGGAAGAATTAGCTCAAACCGCTCTTCATTGAGAACGCAACCGTATGTATTTTTAACCATTGTTTACGATTAATTTTCGAAAATAGTTAACGGTTGTCTTTTTCTGTACCTTGTTCTGTTTTCCACTCAATTCTGGCTCCATTGCGCTTAAACAAAAGCGATTGTGTCACAGCTGAGTTTTGTCCGTTTTATTACGTTTCGCCAAATACTCGTCAAGAAACTTAATGTTAGCGAAGAAATTCAGACTTCTATGAATCTAAAAGCACAAAACTATAGCTTCATTACAAAGAAATGCTTCTCCCAGTCTTTATAATAAAGACGACAAACAAACGACATTAACTTTGAAAACTGTCAGCCTAACAGGTTTTCAAAACCCAGGCCACGATATCAAAATACGTTTTAGTCTTTTTCAATTTCTGTCCATCTGCATCCTAACTTCTTTAATTTGTGTTTGCGGTGTTATTGAAAGTTTCGATTGGTTATTTTATATTTCACTCAATTTGATGATCCTCCAGTGTGGAGCAGGTTGTTATCAGTCTTCTGTCTCTAGTATTTTCGAATACTTTCGGATATATTAAAAATAATATATGTTCGCTACCAAATCATTTGCTATTGAAATTATCATTTGTTACCAGTAGCTTTGCGTGTGAGATCAGAAGTGGATTTCCAAGCAATGCAGATACGAGGAGATCGGCTCAAAAGAGTAATTCTGGACAAGGATTCTCACTCACACGACTTTTTCATTTAACGCTATTTTTTAAGCTGGATTTCCATTGCCACGTTAGAGCGTAAGTTTTAATGGCTTCCATCGCGTAAAATACGGCAAAGAAAATGTACGGACGGCTAACCAAACAGACAAAATGTGGTTCAGCTTTTTCCGCAGACGCAGACTGTCCGTAAAGAAAATTAAAATTGAAATCTGCAAGCAAAGAGGTTTAGAAGCTCTACCCATAATGCTTTGCATTTGAACTATATCATCGTTTTTTCGATCACGTGATTATTCATTTTGCTATGGATTTCATTGAAGTCGTGTTACAAACTGCTCCCATATTTCGCAAAAGAAAGCTTATTTATCTCTATTGTTTTGATCTCGGAGCAAAAGAAAGTGATCAGCTGGAACAATTCCCTTGTCCTCAAGTGAAATAGTTCTTGGCCACGTCAGTTTCCCTGAAAAAAATTGCCTTACAAAGGATGTGCGGATACATATTTCAGGAGAACGTAATAAGTCTTCTGAATCTTCTTCTGAATCTTCATCAGCCCTTTTGGAAGTGATGAACAGTTGTGATATTAAGTTAAACTTCTCAGCGTTTTATTTCTTAGTTTGCCAGTTAATTATCGCTTAAATAAATCTTTACTTAATGAGCACCTGGCTTCATAAACTGCTAGAGTCAAATATAAACAAGTTCAAATAAATACTGCGGGCGTATTTTCTACAAAATACGACAAGTTTGTCTCAGATGAGCTTTATCCATGTATTTTAGTGACCTATTTGGGTATATTGAATGACAAGAAGTTTCACTGACGTTTGTACTTCTCAGACTTTAGTTGGTTTTTGCTGGTAATGGAAAAGGAACATAAAAATGTCTGTCACTTGACATCACAGCCGAAGTCACAACAAAAACTACAATTAGCAATTATCTACAAAAATATTCGTAGATAAAACATTCTCTCCTCTTTAATTGCAATGCAGGAACTGGAATAAGAAAATACAAGATTATTATCCTAGTCCATCATGAATGAGTCCCGATATGGCAATTGGACCAACGCAAAAATTATTCAGTTCAGTGTTACAGTTGTGTACTCCACAATTTACGCGTTGATTATCGCAGTATCTCTTCTGGGAAACCTAGCCGTCTGTGTGGTGATACTAAGCACCAGGTCCTTGCGGCGGTCTGTCAACGCTTGCTTCATAGTATCGCTGGCAGTGTCCGACCTCATGACCACGTGTCTCGTCGCATCGTTTAATCTGGAGTGAACTATATCATATAACAAATGGAGCCATGGTGAGATAATGTGCAACGTTTACACCACCGCATATTTGCTCACAGTCCCTACGTCCATTCTCACCTTGCTGGCTTTGACGTTTTATCGCTACAGAACCCTTCAAGACCCTCTTGATCGTTTCAAGGAATCGCCGCTGATGACTCGCAGGCGCGCCTCACTGGTGGTTTGCATTTTGCGGGCTTACTCGATCTTGTTTTCACTCGCCCCGGTCCTTGGCTGGAAAAATTTTCCAAAAAGTGTCCACAATGGATTTTGTTACTTCAATATAACTTTGGTTTATTCATTTTTAAGCTCCATGCTGAATTTTGTAATACCCATGTTGGCTTCTAGCTGTATTAACCTCAGAATGTACCACCTTGTCCTCAAAATGTCACGTAGTCCATTGCAACCTGGTGTACGTGGTACAGAAAGCGAACCCGTTCCTTTCAAAACGACGGAATGCATCAGTTTATCGGCAGTACCTGAAAACAACGACGAAACAACGGAAGGCAAACCAATGGAGCATTTCTGTCATTTCCCTCCAACTGAACGAAAAAGTCGCTTGGAGCTGAATAGAATCCAAAATGAAACTGCTGTCAGCAAATTAAAACAAAGGCGTAATGCTCGCGCGGCTAAAACAACCTTTTTAATCGTGTCCTCCTTTATTTTTTGCTGGCTTCCGTGGACATCACTGAGTATAACATTTGTTTTTTGTCGAGAGTGTGTTTACACGGTTCCAAATGAAGTGAGCAGGTTTCTTTGGATGCTGGGATTCTCCAACACGGCCATAAATCCTATTTTATACAGTTTCCGAAGTCCTGAGTTCAAGAAAGCCGTTAGAGAAATAATTGGTAAAGGCCGAACTCAGGTCAAGGAGTCTAGATTATAGTTAGACTCCTTACCAACTTTAGCAACTATACGTATGCACGGCATAAAGGCAAGCCAGGCTTGTTGTTCTTCATTGTTCAATCAAGCCACGCCCAACAGACAAAATCTTGGTACCTCTTAAGGGTTCTTTTCAAAATTTCCGACCAGCACCCCCTTCCTTTTTATATGGAAGTCCCCCCCCCCTCCGGGACCGTGCCATCAACCGTGGCTGTACTGTCCACTCAGAACTCTTCACAGGATATCCCGGCAAACACATTTAAAACCAAAAATTGGGAGCACTGTTATAGAGCTTCGTTTGTAGTTTGAACTAATTTTTAACTATATCTTACATGTAGTCCTGAGTTTTATAAACTATTAACGCGGCCTTCTTATGACAAACTGATTCCATGTTTAAATTTATCTGACGGTTTAGTGTCCGTCACTTTTCAAAAGCCACCGACGACGTTTCTGATTTAGTATTCTCGTGTAACTATTTGATGGCACTATAGTTTTACATAACTTAGTAGCAGTAGTGGTAACAGTAGTGGCTGCAGTAGTAGCGCTGCAGTGGAAGCGACAGTCGGAGTAGGAGTAGCATTAGTATCAGTGGCAGAAAAAGTGATTTTAACTTTTATTAGGGGTTGAAGAAGCAGTAACAGCAGTAGCAGCAGCGGCAGCGGCAGGAGGCAGGAGCAGGAGCAGGAGCAAACATTAAAGTGCTCCATAGACCCAAAAGTTAAAATCACTT